ATAAATAGACCAGCATTATTCCCAACGTGTGCAAATATAGCGAAACTGTTAAGTATTTTACTATTGGTTTCGTGAGCGGCATAGAATATCGTTGCGTTTAATCAGATTTGCGAAGGCGGCGCCAGACGAAGAAATAAAACAATGTAATGCGATGGTTACTCATATGTTCTAACTCTATTTGGTCATGAACGGGTAGGTATACGCATAAGTCGAAAGAAACGTTTGAAAAAAATCTCATGAATTTTACAACTTCTGGTTTTCTTCTCGCACATCGTCTGCAGCCGCCACCCGGCGCTATCTTCTGCGAAAATTATTGAAAATTCGTCATTTATGATTCATGTGGTACCTACGTTTTGTCATACAAGGCATTCACCTTTCTTTATTACTGTTTGGGTGAATTTATCATTTGTGTAAAAATAAACTCAAAATTCGAAAATAATTCTTCGCTTAAAAGCTACGGGGAACAATAAAAAAATGTCAATTTCAGAATGACTATATTTTCTTAGTTAAAAAAGAGATACAGATATTATTGCATTGTTTCTTTATAATGTTGTTAAATAATCTGCCGTTTTAAAAGTAAGTATACGGTGTCAAGCAGAATAGTAATCGGACGTACCTCATATTTTCAAATGGAACAATGTATATTTTAATCTAAAAAGATAGCATACTCTCTTTTCCAAGACATAAAACACTACAAAAATTCAAAAATATTAATTATTGATTCAAAAAGCTTCAAACGACTATAAAAAACAAGATAAAAATAAACAATTAAACAATCTTTTAAGATTAAAATATACTGCGTGTTCCCTAAAAAAAAGGTTCGATAACTTTTTTCCTGACCCCGACTTATTTTTAAACGACTGATTATTAAATAATTATTATAAAGAAACTTTTGCAATAAACATATATTTGTACCTTTTTTAACTAAGAAAATATAGGGTCATTCTGAAATCATTTGATTCTCCCCCCTTTTCAGAATGACCCTAAATTTTCCTACTTAACAGAGTTACCGAACCAAGTTTATTACAAAAGTGTCTTTATAAGGATTGTTGAATAATCTGCCTTTTTCAACATACATATAAGTATACGAGGCCAGATAAATAATTATCGGACCTAACCACATTTTTTAATAGAACATCCTGTATATTTTAATCTAAACAGATAGTAATTAAATTCATTATTGATTCAATAAAGATCCTTAAAAGATGATTAAAAATGTTCGCATTAGTGAATATTTTTGATTCTTGAAAAAAGAATTGAATATGCTATCTTTTAAGATTAAAATATACTGTGTGTTCCCTAAAAAAAAGGTTCGATAACTTTTTTCCTGACCCCGACTTATTTTTAAACGACTGATTATTAAATAATTATTATAAAGAAACTTTTGCAATAAACATATATTTGTACCTTTTTTAACTAAGAAAATATAGGGTCATTCTGAAATCATTTGATTCTCCCCCCTTTTCAGAATGACCCTAAATTTTCCTACTTAACAGAGTTACCGAACCAAGTTTATTACAAAAGTGTCTTTATAAGGATTGTTGAATAATCTGCCTTTTTCAACATACATATAAGTATACGGGGCCAGATAAATAATTATCGGACCTAACCACATTTTTTAATAGAACATCCTGTATATTTTAATCTAAACAGATAGTAATAAAATTCAATATTGATTCAATAAAGATCCTTAAAAGATGATTAAAAATGTTCGCATTTCTTTTTTAAATTTGTTGTATTTTTTTACTCACTTTAACCTTTTTTAACTATCTAAATCTTTTTGAATCTTTTTCGAATTTTTTGAATCATTTGTATCGTTTTTAAATATCGTCCCTGGTGTTTTATATTTTTGAAAAGAGTAATTAATATGCTATCTCTTTAAAATATACTGGGCGTACCTACCATTAAAAAATGAGGTTAGGTCCGATAACTTTTTTACCTGATACCATATATTTATTCTGAAAACGGCTGATTATTCCACAGTCATTATAAAGAAACTTTTGTAAAATCTCTAGGGTCATCCTGAAATTGACAATTTTTTGATTTTGCGATTTCAAGTTTGGCCTAAAAAGAGAACATGGCACCTATATTACTTTTTAGCTTCCTAGCATGTGCTAGGTAGCTATTGCGATAGCCGTTTTTTGAACATTTCAAAATTTCATCAAATGTCGACGTTTTAGACCATTTTAAGCAACTTTTAAAGAATAAATTTTTTTTCCGTCTGTATGTACGTACGTACGTTTGTTTGCAATTTTCTGAGAAAACGGCTCGACGGATTTTGTTGAAATTTTGTATATATGTTTTAGGCATACCGAACAGAAAAATAACGGGCTGGATTTTTGAAAAAAATTTTTGGAGCGCCGTAACGGCATCGAACTTTTTTTTTCAAATAGCAACCTAAAATTTTTATTCTATTATTTGGAAGACCTTATTTTCCTGTGTACAACCTACAAAAAATTGGGCCGGGTTATATTATCAAAAAACGGAGAAAAAAATTGCCAAAGTCAAAAAATTGTGTTGCATATGTGCAAAACGCAACGATCTTGTTTCTGAAGCAATTTAAACGAAATTTCTATGGTAAGTCCCTTTAATAAAAGCAAACAAAATTCATGCGCAAAAATCGTGTTGCGCATGCGCAGAAATGCCATTTTCTTATTTATGGAACAATTAAAACGAAATTTGGATGGTAGGTCCTCCTAATAAAAGAAAACAAAATGCATGCGCAAAAAATCGAGTTGCGCATGTGCAACATCCAACTTTCTTATTTATGGAGCAATTTTAACGAAAATTGGATGGTAGGTCCTCCTAATAAAAGAAAACAAAATGCATGCGCAAAAAATAGTGTTGCGCATGTGCAACATTCAACTTTCTTATTTAAGGAGCAATTTTAACGAAATTTGGATGGTAGGTCCCTCTAATAAAAGCAGTGCGTACATATGTTGGCAATTTTTGGTTTCAGCTAGGAAGCTATTCTGTCAAGAATTTGACACCTGGTTTGATAGCACAAACACCTAGAGACATAATCTATAAACATGTAGAAAATGGGACACCCTGTACTCGGCGTACAAAACAGTTTCCGAAATAGAGACACCTTTTGGGGCAGTGCGGGGGAATGTAATAATCGACACCTTAATCATAAAATTAGTAGCCTTCGTGTCGATAATTTTTTCATTATCGCAATCATCTTTTTTTATTGATTGTTGATATTTAAAGGGCATAATAATTTGTGTGTCACGTTTGCGTAAATCGTAGCGTCGATTAAGTATGCCTATTAACACAAACGATCAATTAATTCGATGCGCCACTTGGCCGATAATAGGATCATCTTTGAGATCATCATAACACATAAATTAAGGTAAATAAGGTATGAGTCAAGTCAGAAGAGCGTGGTCCCCCTGCCTATCCATTTATCAGAATACCATCGATTGACTGACGCCTAACAGCCAGAACATAATGTGGTGGAACCCAATCTTGCTAAAAGCCTAGCATGGGCCCCATTGTCGTCCATTCGACTCTCCAAAGATTGTATGATCAAACAGGGTCGGACTGGACGAAAAAGGGCCCATTTAATATATTGTGGCGAATATTGCAGAAATCCCAATAGACATCGAGGCGCCATGAAAAATTAGTCATCGGCGATGAAAACCGAAGGTAGGCGTGACGCAATCTTTGCGAGAAATATGTGTTTTGTTCGAGAACACTCGACTTTGCTATATAAGGACAGTTCCAATTTCAACGTCGAAGTAATAAATAGTTCGCGCTGTTATAAATCATTTAATTTCCAGACTGTTATAAATTTATTGATAATCAAATAAATCACGAAATTAAATTTTCGTTACAATATCAATGTATACAGGGTTTCTTAAAAGTGCCCTGGTTTCAAAAGAGCGAAGAAAAAATCTGAAAATTTCGGATTCAGTAAAGGGTCGTAAAAACTACAGTTTAGATGGTTTAAAAAAAGTGGCGAGTTTTTTTTACATATATTGTGAACATATTTGGAATTATACAGTGTGATCACAAAGTAGGGAGGCATAATTATAATTTTAAAAACCGCATTTGCAAATATGTAATCTTCATTCAATACCATTGCATAGGTATATTCTGTAAGCCGTCGTCATTATCGTGATTCCCCTATAATTGTCCATTCAGGCTCTACCACCTGTTTTGTAAATCGGCACTATTGCCCCATCCCTCCATTCTTTAGGTAGTCCCCCTCCTTTCCATATCTTAATTAATATTGACTTACCAAAATCTTCAACTTTCCTGCGAAAGCGATGTTTTTTCTATACGCCTTAAAATGCACATAAAACTTGGAAATAGCCTAGGATAGTGGTACTCTAATTCACAATAAAATTAGGTTGCGACAAATAAATCTATTAGTAAGAAATGTAATTAGATAAAGCAAAAGAAATTGATTTCGAGTAATTAATACTCGATCGCGAATACAAAGTAACTTTCAGTTAAAGGAATTCACAAACTTGGGTTAATTCATTCGGTTGAAAACATCAATTTCCGTAGATATCAGAGATAACTCTTCATCAAAATGGCGGCTCGATGTGATGTTACAGCTGTTTAGCTCGAATAGATGGCAGTGATACGGCGGACCGTTTGACTTCTTAAAATCCTTCCAACATGTTATGAACTATTCAGCACTCAATGTGCAGTGTTAACGGTACGATCATTAGACAATGTAGGGCAGTGATAAATTGACTTATCCTTTAGAATCCGACAAACAGCGGCAGATGCACAAAAATACGTCTGTAAACTTATACTACAGCTCTCGACTAGTACAGCGAAATACTCGGTTAAACTCAAATCCGGATTGTGACCAATATTAAAATAGCAAATTGGAGCTCCAGCTTTAATTAAGTCACTGATTCTACGGAATGCCTAGATTCCAGAGGCAACAAAGCTTCATGATTCATGCGACCTATGATGGAGCCCAAAACCGTGTCTGTTCTGTACTACTATCGAATATTAAAGAGATGTTGTTGTTTCAGGTTTTAACACCAAAGAAATACAACGATGTGTACTTATACGACATCCCACCCAGGGCAATTCCAGTATCCTACGACGCTCCTCGCAATTGCTCCAGATGTTCGCCGGCTCCGTCCTGTGCGTCACCCACAAATCGAGATTCGGGCGACAGTTACGACATACCGAGGCCGATTTTAATCCACCCGAGTCTCTTAACACCTTCAAGTTCGGCCAGTTCGCTCACAACTGGAGACTCGCTAAGTTCCTCCAACCGAAGTAGTGTAATTAACATCCCCGACTACGACGTGCCCAGATCCCATCCGCGCGGAACCCAATTGGTCCTTCAACCCGCAACTCTGCTGTACGACGTTCCGCCTTCCCACCCTCAAGTGAAAGAATTACCATTAGAATTAAGCTTCGCACTAGATTCCTTGGAGAAATTGCAAAACGAAGTTACGGCCGCCATATCCAAATTATTAGCATTTGTAAGTCCACATTGGAGAACGAGGGAGAAATTGGAAACGAACATAATGGACATAAAATTATCCGTTATGAGACTGAGAACCTCGCTACAGGATTTGGCGGAGTTCGGAGAGGGCGCTTTGGGTAACGCGACGCGGGCGACCGACAAAAATTTGGCGAGTAAACTAATGCCGCTAATCATGGCGATACGAACATCCGACAGGCTCGTACAGGAAGCCGCCGATCAGCTGCAGCTACACGACTGGTCGATCGACATCCTGTCTCGAACGGAAAACGAAGGCAAAGCGAAACCTGACGCGCTCGAGCAGCTGGTGGCGTGCGCCCGCTCGCTGACCGAAGATGTCCGGCAAACCTCGTCGTTTATACAGGGAAATAGTACTTTACTATTTAAAAGAGCGACCTCTCCTCAGGGAAGCAACAACAGCAACGAATGGCTGGAGGACTACGACTACGTTAATTTAGAATCCAAAGAGGCCGTAGCACAGAAGCATGCGGAAATTCGGGACGCACTTCCGAAAGAGCTAAAGAAAGGTTACGATAATTTAATTAAGAACGCGGAAAGCGCGGCGATCATTAGCGACAAGGCGGATTTGGATCCGGAAGATAAGCAAGTCTTATCGTTTTTTGCCGCTCAAGTGATTACGCACCACAACCATCTGACTCAGGCCATCGACGCGTTTTTGCAAACCGTCGAACACAACCAACCGCCCAAAGTATTCTTAGCGCACGGGAAGTTCGTCGTTTTAAGTGCCCACAAGTTAGTGCATATCGGCGACGCTGTACATAGAAACGTTTTGCAGACGGACACACGGACTCGCGCACTCAATTGCGCAAACGCGCTAAGCGAAGCGTTAGCGATGAGTGTGAGTAAAACTAAGCAGGCAGCTCTCCAGTTTCCGAGTGTAACCGCGGTACAGGCGATGGTCGATTCGATTGTCGACATTTCGCACTTGGCGAAAGACCTGAAGATATGTTTGGTGCAGGCCGCGCAACCTATGTAGTGAATTGTTCCTATATTTTATGCCATAGAACTTCGGTAGTACTTAGCGATTTTCGCAGTTAACCTTTCACATAAATTAGTAAAGGGAATTAGATCCGTTAAAGTGAGTTGCTTGTGCGATTTTAGTGCGCATTTCACCTAAAGGAGGTCCTCATTATTCTAAAATCATTTTAATGTGTCATAAATTATGGTATATAAATCTGAGTAGACGATTGCGCCTGCGCGGATTTTCTAGTCAATTTGAGGTTTGCTATTGATAAGTCGGTTTGGTCAATAATTATTGATTACAGCAGTTTGCCACGTTTAGCGGATTATTACATAACAATTAATAGCATCTTTGGACGCTTGATGGTTGTGACTCATACTCGTGCTATGTAAAAAATGGCAGCTGGCGTTTAATGTTCCAATTTTGTAAGATTTTAATAGTCACAACCAAAAATCTGGGCAAACTGCAACAAGCCAGACTTTGAACACTTTCTGAAAGTCACTTAATTGAGAAAGAAAAAAATTTCCAAAATAATTTTATTTTCGGTGAAGGATAATCGAGGATTCTCCACAGATTTATATTCGTAATACCGAGTGCAATAACTCAAGTAGTGCCAAATAAAGTATTTATGGGTAGATTCTGATTTCGTTCTTCATTATAGTTACGTGCACTTTTTCTTTCTCAAACAAGCACTTACTATATTTTGGCAACTTTTTGCATTTTACTGTCTTCGTGTATATTGACCTAAGTGTAAAAAATGTTATTGTCGCGATATACAGTTTTAAAGTGTACATCAACTTCCTTTTAATGTATGGTATTTAGTAATTTAGAAGTTCCGTGTGTATATAATTTGCAAATGTATAATTTATTGTGTATATTAATTATATATCTATGTTGATGATAAAAGAACTGATTTAATATCATTGTAATTATTTCAAATATGTATTTGACTTAATTTTAAATAAACTCGTTAAAGTTAATCATGAGAGCAACTGCTCAGTTATCCCTGCATAGTAGGGGGAAAGGCTTTGTCCCAAGAGAGAAACGAATGACGGAGGTAGGAAAAATTTGTGAATGATTTTCTCAAAACGTTCGGTTTAGACGAGATGTACTAAACAATTGTTATTGCGAGTACAGCAGATAAAGATTTTGGTGACATACCCCTACATTTAGGCAACACACCTTACAGCAGGAAGAATAGCACAATGGGAAAAAATACAAAACACTTTGTATATAGCAATTGTGGTATGTGATTTGACTTGGACCATTCTGCGCAGATGCCGGGAACAGGGATTCTTGGGTATCAACCTTGGCAGAAAGTCGGTGTGGGAGACCGTTTTTCGATCCCTCGATTAACGTGCAAGCCATATGGTTTCGCAATGTTTATTTTCTTTGGTTTTGTTTGGAAAAGTGTAATTAAAGGTAGTAATCGTTTTATTCTTTGTAGTACTAACTGTTGGGCAAAAAAATCGATTATAATCAAATGATAATTGGGTTTGATTATTGTTTTAAATTAATCGATTATTTGATTAATCAATTGTCTGAATAATCGATTATTTGAAAAATCAAGTGCTTGATTAATCGATTACTTAATCAAGCGCTTGATTAATCGGTATAATCGATTATTATTTTTAATAATCGATTATTCAAACCTGTAATCGCCCACCCCCAGTACCTCGCCTAGTACTAACCATCCATTTTTGAATTTCCTGCCACAATTTACGGAATCTTGTTTTTGTTCTCCTGTACAGTGGTTATTCCTTTCTATTACTTTAATAAGTATTTGCTGATGTATTCATGATGGAGGATTTTGTTCTGTATGAGTCAACTAACCATTTATGCAGTGAAGAAGTACCTAATAAAGTTCTAATTCTTCGTTGTATCTGTTTCTTTCTCTGCACCCTTGTGTCTTAGGAATATCAGAAGGGAGCTTCTGTAATTAACTTTCCTTCTGTTTAGTGTGTGGGTCTGTTTGCGTGATAATTGATTTAAACTGGAATACTCCTTGCATTTTCACCTGAGCTTTTTCGGGTTAAATTAATAGTAGCCGCAACAGTCATGCTTTTTGATTTTTTTTATGATGCATAGGCAATTTATCATTTCACGAGTCTAAATTTCTTTTGTATGTCATAGACAAGCATCTGGTGGTTAAAAATCTAAGTTTTCGACCTCCCAACCCTTGTGCTTCCCCCCGTACGACCCCCAAAACCTCCGAAATTTGGTTGATTTCTTAGTTTGTCAATCATATCTTTTTAATGGTCCCCTTTAGAAAAAAATATTGTTATCAGAAATTGTAGACCGTAAAATTTTACACAACTGTGATATATACTACTTTTTTGTAAAATTATTACAAATACTATAATAATACTAATAATACATTATTACTAATATTATTATTAAAAAAGATATAGAGCTTCAAATTTGCTTATATTTTTAAGAATTCTAAAATGTCTAACGAAATTGTATAGGTACTTTATCTCTATAATGAAGAGTTCTATGAGAAAATATCTTGAACTTATCATAGTATAAATCCCCCCACCCTGCACCCCTACCAAAGGGGATGCATAATCATTCAACTTTCAACCCTTGCTAGTGGTGATATTTGAATCACTGTGAGATTTATAGCGCTTTCTAATATACGTTTGAAATAAAAAAATTGTCTCACTTCAGTTCAGTTTCATCCGCCTTGTAGCGTACTTAACCCCTAGGTTTTACGCTAACTTCACACTACAAGAACACGGAAACGGCAACGTTTAAAAATGGCCACCCGAATGACTGTTCCCTCCAAAACTAAAGGTACCACAGGTACCCAGATTCTAAGAAAGGGTGAAATACACAGGAAGTAACCCATCTTTGGTGTAATAAAGTCCTTTTGTTAAAAGCAAGATGGAAAATTACATGGCCTTGTAGGCAAATTTAACTAAAAACAAGAAATGTGGAAATTATTGAATCGCCACTCATTTATCGCACATAGATTCTAAACTGAAGAGCTTTAATTAGGGTAATCCCGCTCCTGCAAGATAGGTAACCCGCCCCTGGTTTCGAGTCTACAGTTGAAAGTCGAAGACAATCACGAAATTAAGTGTCGTAGCTCAATTTTGATAAAAGTTTTTTCCCGCCCCCGTGACTGCTTCATTCACGGAGAAAATGTTACAAACAACAAGTCAGTACATACATCAAACGAATCGGTAATTTCCACATATTAAAATAAAATGATCAAAATTTATATGAATGTTACTGCAGGGACAAGACCAAGTAATCAACATCAATAAACATAAATTAAGCACGCATTACACCAAAAAACATAAACAATTACAAACAATAGGATAACAGTATTAAACATGTTATTCTGCATTGCGATTAAACCAAGTAAATTTCAAAAACAAAGATTCAAACTCACACAAAATTAAAATACGGCATACAAAACACAAATACGATATAAAGAAATTCAAAAATTACTACCTGCATTAAATAACACAAAATAACAACAAACATTTATGGAACGACGCGTTCACGACCGCCATTCAAGACAAGATGCCAAAACGTGCTTTTAAATGGCGCATGCAGCTTTTTCCCACCTAGAAATTGCATGGTTGCCAGCTCTCAAAAATTTGTGCATCGTCGTAAGTTGTATATACAGAGTGGAACCTCTCACCCTACTGGAATGCTTTTTTTCTCGTTTTGATTTTATTGCTTTTGTAAATTATTCAATTTAGATCAGATGCTTTTATTTAAATACATCTGGTCATGTTTGCGTACTTTATGAAATTTATTTGGTCGTTGTGATAAGGAGTTTTATCAGGCGAAATTTACTTAACGCACGTGTTCTGGTAGTGATAACGTAGGACGCAAGTGTTTCGAAGAATTGCGCCGTTGTTATTGTTGGGGAAGCGGGGACGTTTCCTTCCGTCGAATCTGTCGTTATCTAATCTAATTATAGTGATCGGAGGTTGATTTGAAAATTCTTGGAAGGAATTTATTTTGTCGTGGAAGTGGTTTTTCCTTAAATACTTGAGACGGCGAGTAAACGAGGCTGCTGCTGCGGCTGTTAGTTTTTGCAACTGTTGAAAAGCGTGTAAATCTTTTTGCGTTAAGTAAGTACCTATTTGTTTTGTTGAAGATTCAGTTCCTCATTTTTTAAAATAAATCTGTACAGAAGCATAAGTTAACCAAAGTCGTGTGAGACGTTTAACGCGTGTTGTCCGATTAGTGAGAAAGTTTCGTGAAGTTGAATAAGGAAGCAGTTGTAGTACAGCGAGGCCTTTTGTTGAAATTCTCTTCATATTCAAAGGTTTCTACCGTCCGAATAGCCACCGAAAATGTTATCATCAAATCAACAGGCCAGATGACTTTTTGCCATTAGATTGGTACAAGAAAGAGGCGATTATTGGAGATACCTACCTCTTTATTGCACCAAAGTATAGGACGCGGCACCAAAGTAAAGTATCTTAAGCCACAACCACTTACACACGGAGTTTTTTTGCCTCAAAAGAAACCTATACAAAAATTGTAAATGTTGCTCTTTCCTTGCTGCAGAGGCTCCTCAATTGTAGGTACTGGGTTATCCCAGTACCTACAATTATCAATAATCCACACGTTGTTTCATGATCCTGCCCAATTTCCTCAATGCTTGGGCACATATTTTGTTGATAAGAAATTATTATTGGGCCGATATTCCCAGAAGGAAAACAGAACTATGGGAAGAAACGATAGATAGATCACACAATCGTTGGCGGCTCAAAATGGACATCATAATGGGACAATGCTAGTGGATTACAAAAATTTATATTTTCAGCAAGAATGGGACATTATGATCTCGTTTTGGCAGAAAAACATAGTGTATTACTTATTGTCAATGTGTGTATAAACCAGTTTGAGGTTTTAATAAAATAAATTGTATGCAATCAAAACGTGAAGTGTGTAAAATTGATTTTATTTTGTGCTCGTATTCACCTTTTAAAATTAATTCATAACAAAACCATCCAAATTCGATTTGTAGAAAACATTACACACAGCCTGCTGGTCAATAACTACATAAGTATCTTTGTTTATTAATTAAAAACAAAGATAGTACTTAGGGCGATCTGATGAAAAGAAAATAAAGCAAATACAAAGTTTATTATTAAAAAGGGAGAATAACAAAAATATTTGACATTATCAATAGAAATATTGAATCAATGCTCAATAAAAACAAAAACAATAAATATTAGAACCATTTGTAAAATACGAACTTCATTCCTCAATTTTTTCATTTCTCACCGCATCACGCGCTTTTAATTTCTTAGCAAATTCCGATAAATCACGTCTCATTGAATAAGCATCTTCGCCGTCAGCGTAATACTTAGGTTCAATCTCAACAGTCTCAAACTTTAACGCATTCTTATACAAATTAAGAGCAGCGCGATTACTTTTACGTACATGAAGAGAAACATATTTCGCGTCAAAGCACTCTACCATCGCCTCGGACGCTTGATCCATTAATTTCTGTGCCAAACCCAATCTTCGGTACGATCTTTTAACTGCCAAAGAAGTGATGTGCCCGTGTTTCAGATCTTCATTATCCTCCTCCATCTTTGCCAGTACGTAACCAACGATGTTGCCCTTTTCGTCCTCGGCCACGTAGCTTAGTTGTGGCCAACTCAGTCCGTGATAAAAATAGTACTTCATTTGATAGTTTTCGGGCAAACACAGCAGATTGCAGTGCTGCATGTTCATGAGATCTTCGGGTTTTGCACATCGGATATTCATCGTTACTCTCTTCTCGGTTTTCTCACCTTGCTGCGACTATCTCGTTTCTCAGAGGCCGCTGGATCACTCACGCCTCCCAAAAGTTCACGAACGAATTTAAATCTCGACAAAAACAGCTTCCAAACAATGTACCAACCTACAAGCACAGTTAATTAGCGAATTGAGGTTATGTTTACATTACAAATAAATTTACCTAAACCTACTAAAAGGAATGTAATGAATAGCGACGAAATTACAGAAAATGCAGCTAGAAGCAAGTCTGATTCTTTCATTGTTTTAAGTTACGTAAAAACTTTAAATTACAAAATTCATTTTCTTGAAGTTACGCCATTTTGAAAAACGAGTCAGATTTTAAGAATCTAATTACATTGGTCACTAATTAAGAAAATTAAAGCACTGATAAGGCAACGTACCTTTGAAACCTTCTTTGTTTTTCAATTAATGGTAAAATTTAAAAAAAACCTGCACGAGCAGCGAAGATGAAAAACCTTAGGTTGGCAATAGCTTTAAAGTAAAGCACGTGATGTCTAGGTAATGGCTGCGTTCAATTAATTTATTTATGTGTATATCAGTGTACAATAGTGTTTTGGTTTCTCTTCTAACCCGAATTAAATCTTTCGTTTTTGAAATTGAAAAAGGTCGAGCTTGACTAGAAATTGTACTTTTTGGCGATTTTCTAGTTTTAGAAACCTTTGGATGAGAAATTGATGAACAGAGAGCGAGCTAGTATAGCACCCATTTCTTCGGATTCAATATTGCGTTTGTCGTTAAAAAATCGTATGTGAGCGTACAGTGAAAAACTTGTATTGTATGTGCGACCGCGATTATAAGTCGCGCCACAGATTGCAAGTGCGCGCCCTGCCTTAAACGGCCCACACACTCTGCAATCTGTCGTACGACAAGTTGTACTGCAGATTGGACAAACAATCTGTGCAACCAATTGGTTAGTAGTTACTGGCTTAGATCATAATGATCTAAGGTTACTGGTAGTTACCCGCACATACACGAAAGATGTGAATATCAATCAGTCGTCGCAACTGGTACTTAGGGAACCATTTTCATTCGTATATAGTTTGGTGTCATGGCGGTAAAACCTTTTCAAAAAATTATAGCGGCGACAGCGGTCATTCTGTTGGATTCCGTTTATGTTTGTTTGAATAATCATTCGATTTTACATCCCACAAACATGTTTGTTCCCCTTCCCGATATACTTCAATAAATTCGAAAGTGAATGATTATTTATTCATTTTGAATATGTAATAATATGATAATAAAAACCATTAAAACTTACTACACATCAACATTAAATAATACTGACATTGCTTCCACACTATGCAATCTGTCGTATATCAGACGTAGTTTCACCTACAACACATTTTTAACCAGTATATTCAAGACACCGTTCTGCGCAGTCGTTAAAACCGGTTTGGGGAGAATTAATATAGAAAAGCCAGACGGTGGCGTCGTTGCTACCACGGGCGGTGGGTGGTCCAGTCTTCTTATAAAGCAGGGTGTTCGCCTACAGATGGTTTTTTTGTGCTCTTTGAAGTTAACTGTTCATTGTGTTATTTTTCCAAGTGTGGCCTCGTTTTAATTTGTTTCATAGCTATTTAAACTCAACTTTTCATTTCATATATTAATCGTGTTTACATTGTAAGTATGTATGTATTTAGAAAGCTCTGAAAGTAATAGATCTCGAAAAGTCCTCTAAACGCATAATAGAAACAGAAAACAACTGCTAACTGCAATTAATACAGTAATTACTAACAGCAGGGATTGGCTAAGGTGACGTCAAGATTTGTAACCCCTTTAATCGCTTATATCACAACCGAAAATCACAAACACAAATGTCCCTATAATGTTTGATTTTATTTCTGCATCAAAATTTGACAAAGTTTTGCAAACATCCTGTAGTAAGCAGACACACAGAGTTGTATGAGCAGACCAGAGACATGGAGAGAGCACAACTTACCCTTACGTAACCTCAAAAAACAAAAACGTTAACCTACAAAATTGAAGTCTTTTAAGCATGGTTCCTTTGAAATATTTGTGGTTTTATACTTATCTTACTTAAATTTAAATCTCTTGAATTGAAGGTAATTAATAAGAAACCTAATAAAGTTCATGCGTAGCTAATTATACTCTTGCAGCAATAATAAGATGCGTAAAGACTCAAAGATTTTAAAAAGGAAACTTCGACAAGAGAAAAAATGCCAAAAATTATCGGCGTTACTTGAGATAACAAAATTAAACGACGAAGATCGTTTGAAAAAGTTAGCTCTAACAACTAACGGTGAACCGGCTGCAAACCGAATCTGTACTGAAGATCCCTCGAAAACACAAGCAACAGGTCCTGCAGGAAAACCTCTACTACACAACGAAGAGTATCTTAAGCTAAAACAACAATTAAAGGAACGTAAAGCACTCTTGGATAACTATCCCAAATTTCGACTGCGGGAAATCGGCCAGAGAGCAACATTAGATATAGAGAGCGGCGACAGAATACCAATTTATTTTCCTGATTTGCAACATTTATTGCTTTACTCTCAGATCGGGCATCACTCCCCTTACGCACCGTCACGATGGTGTCAGCTGGAGAAATTCAACCGATTGGAGCACACAAATGTGTTGATTGTCGAAAATCTTTCCATGTACCACTACCAATCATACGAGACGCTGTTCCCGTATTTGCATTCGAATTTTGCGCACAAACTAGAACTTATAACTCCTGAAGCTTACCACAGTGATTTAGTGCAAGAACTGGTGACTGTACCGTTAACGGGTCAACAAACTAGAAACATTATTTCCGAGCATGGATCGTTGGAGAATGCAGTGCGTGACAGTTCGAATGTGTTTGATAGGGTTAACAGTGCATTTCCAGTAAAGGAAAAAGTGAAACGGTCAAATTCGGGTAGTATTCCAGAAACTGATCGATTTTCTCGGACAGACTTGCTATTGTCAGGTTGGCAGATGATCGAAGAAAATTTTCCCATGCCTATCGATGGACTGACGACAACTAAGTATGCTGAATATGTGATGACGAAAGACGTTTATAAGGACGTGACACCCTTCAGTCCCATGTTTGCTGTAGATTGTGAAATGTGTCTCACTTCTGCGGGGTCGGAGTTAACTCGAATATCTATCGTGGACGAGGAATGTACACCGATCTATGATGAGCTGGTAATGTTGATGTAAATGGGTTGAGTGCTTTGTGGGTGTCATTATTGAAAATTGGGGAATTTTTTTTAATAGTTGGTAGATGCTCCTTCTTACTGAGATTCTATGTGCAGTCTTATATATTTTTTACGGCGTAGATTTGGAATTTACAAGTACTTATATATATTCCTACTTATAGTAATTTCAAAAATGGATTCCTGAAATGTATGATGCACATCACTTCAGAACGACTGCACCAAATTAGATAATTGTTTTTGTTGTGCGTGTTATTATCAAGACAAGGTTTGCATAAAAGATAATTTCCAAAAAATTTTGCGGAAAAAAAAACGATTGTTCTCTTTTCCGCCATTTTAAATCGCAATACATATAACAAACAGATGGCGCCAAAGCGAGATCTCCTACGCTCTAGAAGAATCCAAACCGTCTATTTCGGGCTAAAGGCGAAAAATAGACAGTCAAACGTATCAATTACGTATGCCCGCGAAAGTTTCTGATGGAGTAAAACCTTAGACCATAGTAAAACACTTTCCGAAATTCTAACGGGAACGGGAACAGGAGAAAAACGGATTCTATGTTTTACAGTCGAAAAGAGACTTTACATTTATAACGTAGATTTCTTTGAACGCGTTCAGGTGTACTACGAGGTCCACTCCAAAAGAGACTTCTCGAAGTTCCCACGGGAACGGGGTACGGGAAGAAACGGGATTACCCAAATAGGCGGTACGAAGTTCGGCGGGACTGCTAGTACACAATAAACACGATTTATTTTCAATTACATTGATACAAGTGTTCAAAATGTCCAAATCGTTTGCATACCATGAAACGGAAAAGAAATATATAGGAGGATCCAATTTTGATGCGTAAAAAAAATTGGTAACAATTTTATGCAGGTAATTTGAAATATTTTAAGAAACTTCGGTACTTGGCAGGGCGGTGTAGTTTTGTTGGAACAGTACGGTTTACCTCGAGCGCCACCAGGAGATTGTCGATCCTTGGCACACGGAAACGGTAGCGAGTTCTCAAAGCAGGAACCTTTGAAAGTAAACGGTTTAGAACCCAAAATTCTTTTCAATACGGACTAATCGGTAAAAATGCAAAATTGACCATTCTGAAAATACAATATCAAAAAAAAATCGATCCCCTAAAGGCCTAAACTAAGCTTATATTATATTTTATTATATTTATTATAGATATCGCCAAATACTAGAAGGGATCTCTGGACTTTCTAGCCGATTGGCATACTCGGGTGATAACATCCAAAAATTAAAACTTTTAATTTTAATTAACTAATTACCCGAATTCATACTAATTAAGTTCGCTTCATTTGACACCAAACACAACCTAGTCAGACGCATGCAACACATCTAATTGGCGACGGTTAATTATGCTTAGTTACTTTGCCACAACTTGAGTTGACACCAATCGCGTCTTGGAATTTGAGATCAGGCGACAGGTTAACTGTATCAGGTTTATCTACGTATAAGCGAGCAATCTTGCCGTTTTCTATCCTACTTTTAAATAAATTACCTTGTAAATTACCATCGAGCAACTAAAATCGGCCAATCTTTAATTAACGGAGCTGAAATTGTACAATATTAATTTTTCCTCCTCTTGCAATCGGTGAGAGCTTTCGGATGGTGCGAAGGTAATTTAAATATCTCTACGGGAACGGCTACAAACTGCAAATTAAAGTCATAACTTTTACGTTCTATTTCTAACTCCTACTAAATAAATGCATAGGTCCGGAGCAACAATGTCTCGTAAGGAAGCGCCCGTTTTAGTTCGTCGAAGTACCGGGTGATCATTAAGGTTGGATGGTTTTTTCAAAAAATAACATCATTCTTTGTAAAAACATCTAATAACATGCCTATTGTTAGTCTGACCACATAGTGTGCTGTATAATATCGGCCGAAAATGTTACAGCGTCACCGGTTCTTAAAACCATCGCCAAACCCATGTAGAAAAAAAACGCAGCTGAAGCCGGGTTCTCTGGGGGGCCGTTTCGGTTTTTTAGATCGACGAATCGACTATGAAAAATTTGGTGGGAGAACGGCATTTTTAGCCCGACCTTCGCGGTCTACGTAACGTAAACGTAAAAATGATAGATCGAACAACATGAAATTCTTCGCCAAGTTTTCATGGCGAATCATGTGAATTGTGTACGCAATTTTTGAGATCGCATTAAATTTCATTGTTAATTAAAAGTTCGAATCGAAGGGCGTATAATCACAGTATATTATAAAAGAAGCGGTTCGTTTACCCGGGGTTGAATTTAAGCGGAATATTTAGATTTAATTACACACGATAGGTGCATTGGTCGGTACACATTTTGGGTAAATTTATTTAAAATATACGAAAGAAGGATTGAAATTGTAGCTACCAGTGGCGGAGTGAATATTTTTACAGAAGGGGTTTGAGAATTTTTAAAGTTACTGGAACTTTAGGATTGATTAAAAAAAATTTTTGAATTTAGGGGGATACCACGTGTATGGAATTACAGTCAGATTTTTAAAAAACCTATAAGAACATTAATTTAAGAAAAAGAAACCACACCAGCAATTACGGAAGTTCAAGCTGACATTATGTATTTGCAAGAAAGCCAAGACAATGGGGAGAGGAGATCGCGACTGATCAGAGAGAAGAAGAGGTAATCAAAGTACCAGAAGAAATTGAAGACATTCAAGAAGGATAAAAATTAGCAGATCAGAAGGTAGCCGCGAGTTCCAAATTATTGAGTCAAGAAATATTTAACGAATGCGAAGAAGAAAATGAAGAACCGACGTTAGAAGGCAGATCAATTCCGTTGGAGGGGGTTATAATAATTACAAGTGGAGAGAAAGAGGAAGGTATGAACAGAGTAGTAACTATGAAGAAAAGGATACAGGAGGTCTACTAGTCTCTTGGAGGGTAGGAAAAACGAATTTAATTAATTTTATAAACATATTGTTTCCAGAAAATTAAAGCACGAGTTAAAACAAAACACGAAACGATGACAAATAAAAACGACGAGAAAAAAGACAACAGAGAAGAAGTAAATTTAAATAATTTGATTGAACACTCAAAGAAGAAAACGAAATCAAAGAACGAATGGAGAATCAACGGCTTATTTTGAAGAGTTTGGAGGGGGTAGAAGATAAACTGAAGTTAATAGAAGAAAAGGAGATGAATTGTCAAGAAGAAGCAGAATACTCGAAGTGGTTGGAAATGGAAAAAGGAATTGACGAAGTGGGAGAACTGGAAGAAAAGCTAACCAAAGTACAAGAGAGAGAGAGAGCGAGAGCGAGAGCGAGAGCGAGAGCGAGAGCGAGAGCGAGAGCGAGAGCGAGAGCGAGAGAGAGAGAGAGAGAGAGAGAGAGAGAGAGAGAGAGAGAGAGAGAGACAAGAAGAGCGAATTGCCAGTTTATAAAAGAATTAGTTGAATAATCAAGAAGAATCAACTTCATTACAAGAGACCAACAAAGAATTAGAAAGAAAAGTAAAGAACAAAGAAGATGAATTGAAGGTGAAAGAAGAGAAAGTTACAGATATTCAACAAAAGCTAAAGTGAGTTGAGAAGAGGTTAAGTTGGCGCGGACCATAGTAAGAAAAGTTTTTATATGTGTACTGAAGTTTGTTGAAATTAAGTGAAGTAAAGTGCAGTTAAAAGATGAAGTTAAGTAAAGTGTATGTTTATATATGTATTATTTTGAGTTTATTGAAGACAAAGGAAATCAAGTGTATATACCTAGTTTATGTGTTTAATGCTTTTGAATAGATTTAAGGGTTTTTAGGTTTAGGTTCTTGGGATTTTTTTTGTTAGTAAGATCAGTTAACTCAGGACCGTTGGTTTTTCTTGTTTTACAACCCTCATCAAGTTTTCTTCGTTTAAAAACAGAAGGGGGTACTGTAACAGATGGTCGCTTTAGACTTAGAAAGATTTGGTTTTGAATTTATAAAAGTTGCCGGTATAGAAAATTTTATACGTGTACCGCTTCATAACGAAAGAGAACAGAGCTAATATTCGCGAAACATAAAGCGCGTTACGATAAGTACAAGTGTTCAAGCAGATTAGAGTCTAAACGTTTCAGTGTTCTAGAAACCGTCGCTACGGAGCATGAGAGGGATACTCTCCGCTATATCTACCCATGTCGAAAAAACGCAGCCGAAGCCAGTTTCTCTGGGGGCCGTTTCGATATTTCAGATCGGGGAATAGACTATGGCACATAAAAAAATGACAAGATTAGTTGATTACATGAAACAAGCTTTTGAGGCGAACCGTGTGAATTGTGTACGTCATTTTTGAGATCGCGTGAAATTTCGTTAATTAAAAGTTTATACCGTTTAATCGCGGTATATAAAAGCGTTAGACGCTCCACCGGAAAATTGTGCCACCATTCTTTCGACGCAATTATTGTCGCGGATACTTTATTTATTACTACTTATTTCAAATAGGGTCTAAAGAATGTTCAAAAAATTATCAAAAGTCCTCGTGTGAGATCGAAGGGACTTCAGCGCATTTTTGTGTGGCAGATCAGTATTCTATTAGTCATTTTTGACTCAACCATGAATAAAAGATCTTGTCGAAGGCTACCACATTCCCTTTGACGGTACCCACTCCCGACGTCCCGTTCACCCGCAATTCGTGTTTGAAGATTTGATTCTACCATCAGTAAGATCGTGTCGGGGGCTACCACATTCCCTTTGACCGTACCCACTTCCGACGTCGCGTTCACCCGCAATTCGCGTTTGAAGATTTGATTCTACCATCAGTAAAATCGTGTTGGGGGCTACCACATTCTCTTTGACGCTACCCACTCCCGACGTCCCTTTCACCCGCAATTCGCGTTTGAAGATTTGACTCTACCATCAGTAAGATCGTGTCGGGGGCTATCACATTCTCTATGACGGTACCCACTCCCGACGGCGTATTGGCATTCTGTACTATTATTCAGAGCAGCTCTGGTCTGATTCGCAGTATACTATGGCTTCACGTTATGCGCAAATTCATAATACATTATGTACTGCGATTCAGAGCACCGATATGGTTTAAACTCTGAAACACTGTATATAATGGGTTTCTATAAAACGCGTCATACACTTACAAGTGTTTTTATTGTTACCTTTGCAAGAAAAGTATATTTTTTGTTGTTAGTATGTAATCAAGGTTCTCAAACTGCACTACAATGATCTATAAAGAGGTATTGGTTAAAATGTGCAACGAGAATACGTTTTTAATGATCGAATATTTGGAACTAGTGGAACATGGATTAAAGTGCAATTAAAAAAAAACGGGTGAAGATATTAACAGTGTTTGGTGCGACAAGTGGTTAGCTAATTTTAGTAATAAAACAAACACTACACCTAGCAATAAACCATATCGGCGCTCTGAATCGCAGTATATAATGTATTATCAAATTGCGCATAACGTGAAGCCATAGTACCTATACTGCGAATCAGACCAGAGCTGCTCTGAATAATAGTACAGATTGCCAATACGCCTCCCGACGTCCCTTTCACCCGCAATTCGCGTTTGAAGATTTGACTCCACCATCAGTTAGATCTTGTCGGAGGCTACCACATTTCCTTTTTCGGTGCATACTTATATTACACTCACATTTTGGTGGATTTCGCTAAAAACCTTCCACAAGATAGTACTTAATTTTTGGGGGCACTTCTCATTGCTCGAGCTTCTATTGGCGACACGAGAAAAAGAGACAGCGATTCGAGATTTACGAAACGTTAAAACGCGTGATGGAATTCGCAACGGAAGGTAAAAGGCGCCCGAAGTAGACTACCTCTCGAAGACGCGCGCGCGTGCCTTGCAAAAGGTCGTTAATTTCGCCCCTAGGACAAAAGACAAAATTCCGCCACGCAGGAGTTGTGCGCGTTTACAATATCTTTCCGACGACACCAATTTGAAAAGAATCGGACCAAAACTGTAGTAGAAGATAGGAAAAAAACTGAAAAACCTTCACGTTAGTATACTACGCTCGAGGATGACGCCCAGATGTCGCCAACCCCACATCATGTAGCCCTGTCCCTAAGGTTGACAAATTACACGGCCTTGTAGATACAACTTTCTACAAGAGTTCTTCTACGCGCCCACATTTGCTGCCAGCCAGCCAGCCAGCCAAAGTGAGATTAAAAGCTACTTTTTACAAATAAATTTGCAAAAATGCGCTAAAAATAAGCTTGTGAAGACGGGAGTATTTCGACTCACAATGAAAACGCTGACAAAACCCTCAAGATGTTACATATCGACGCAGTATAAGGGTAAAACAATTTATTTTCACACTCCTGTGTCTTCGGGTCAATTTTGAGTGCTAATTTACCAATGTACAGCTTCTAATTGTGAGGTTAAGTAAAGTAATTATAAGTTGCATTATTATATCATTTATTTAGGAGAATAAGTATGAATGATTAAGGTTTGCGTGCAGTGCCTTTATACTAAATTTAAGTGTATAATGATTAATCTCTATTCAACATTATTTTCTATATGGATGTTGACTAAGAAGTATGTGTATACGAGTATGTTCGCCCAAATCGGTATTACTTCACCTTCTTCAATTGCTCAAGTGTTAAGCGCTCGATTTCGAAAGGGGGTTCCTTATTGGCTGCGACCCATACCGATCCATTTTCACCTTCTTTTAGTATTTTTATTGCTGCTCTTGCAACTTCGTCTGTTCTGTGAAAATCAAATAGGTAATATAATTTACTGGCGTAATTCATTTCGAGGAAAAAACCTCACCATTTGAGCCAGAACTACCGATCTTTTGTATATAAACATTTTTGACCATGGATGCATAATTTTGGCATTGCCTTTTCAATTGGTGAAATGAAGATAGGTAGCAAAGTGTAAAACTACATACGCTAATCAAAAGAAGTAGGTAGGTAAAATACGTACGTTTGGAAGATCGTGACATTATTCCTAAAATAATACTCGTAGATGGCCATGTAATCGTCACTATACAACGCTTCCTTATTAACATTTCCCAAAGCGGTATCAGTAAATCCGGGGCAAACTGCCATAACTTTAACCCTCTTTCGAACGTAATGGACGTCCTGTCCCATGGCACGCGTTAATGCAACAACGCCACCTTTCGTCGCTGAGTAGACTGGTCCAGCAGGAATAAAAGAAAGCGCTGAAATTGAGGCAACATTTAAAATGATAGCTTCATTGTCGCTTTTGTTTTCTGGTAAGTATCGTTCAAAACCTAACATTGTTCCATTTACTGTTCCCGTCTAAAAAATGAAAATAAAACAATCGAAAACGTCTAATCAACATATTACTTACAAGGTTGACAGAGATTCCTTTCGTCCAATCCTTGTTGCAAGAGATACCGGCATTATTAACGACAATATCTAGATTTTCAAACGTGGATATTGTTTGCTCGAAGGCATCTACGGCAATCGGATAAACCTCGATTAAAGGTCGGTAAGTTACCTTCGAATTGACTTTCAATGCTCACATCGGCCGTTATAAACAATACTTTTCCTAATCCAAACTCGTCTTGAATTTCACTCACAGCCCTCTTAGCTGCTGTTGCATTTATGTCGATAATAGAAACTCCCTGAAATAAGAAATCTGAACTGAAATATTAAAGATTAGTTAATTAACCTTAGCGCCATTTCGCAAAAGTTCTTTGACGATTGCTAAACCAATGCCTTGCGCGCCGCCTGTTACTATAGCAACTTTTTGGTTCAAATTGAACATTTTTGGTTGGATTGTTCTATACTTAATAATTGTTAAACAACTAACCTACTTATCTAAGTCGTCATTAAACGGTTACCTACGGATGAATCAAAGTCCTCCATTTTAAATTTTAAATTTATTTGACCGGTGGTGTTTATCGCCGGTATTGTGTTAAGTCACTTTACATACACGCAAATATCATACTATACAGGGTGGTGACTTGCGTCGCGCATCATAGGGATTTCAATGTAAAATTCATAACATGCGATTATTGGCTCCCCAAATTATTTTAGAGCAAAAATGTATTAACAACAATTTTTTACGTCAATCAACAGCGTTAGTTTCCAATTTTTTACATAATGAAGACAGAAAATTGGGAAAATAACCCCCGCATCTTTTTCAATAATCTGTGATGCCATGGAGTTTTATAATACAAAAACTACAATATCCGTCATGCCATGGAATGTCTGCTATAAAACAAATCAAATTCTATCAAAAAGTATTATATTTACAACAGCGAATTCAACATAAAGAAAGACCAAATTACTAAAAACGGTTTCCTAATACAATAAATGTTCGAATAAGTCACCATTAACTGCAAGACAGTAACCAAGTCGATCATAAAATCCATTTCGAACTGCTGCTAATTGATAACTGGACATCTTTTTGTTTTAGATAATTCCATCGCATCGCAGATTATTGAAAAAGATGCGGGTTTTATTTTTCCAATTTTCCGTCTTTATTATGTAAAAAATTGAAAACTAATACGGTTTATTGACGTAAAAAAATTTTTTCTACAAAAAATCTTAATACATTTTTGCTCTAAAATAATTTGGGGAGCCAATAATCGCATGTTATGAATTTTACATTGAAATTCCTATGATGCGTGACGCAAGTCACCACCCTGTATACATGATCTTTGATACGCGTTGCGTTGTGTCAAATATAGCTGAGCAATTGTTACGTTGACGGAAAGGTTTTGACGTGTATAATATTCAATATCCTGGATTCAGGTGTAAGATTATTGCTCCTGTTTTATTAAATTAGATGTCAATCCTTATCGAGTGGTTTAAGAGATTCTTTTCGCAGCCCTGGATGGTGAAAGTTTTAAAGGAGGTTGTAACAGTTGGCTACGGGGGTTGAAACTCCTCTGATCATACTAAATAAAATTAACTTACTTCTACAATGATGAATTTGTTTAAACACTATCAGCTTAGGTACATTTACAAGGGGTAGATTAATAACTAAGGGTTTTGATAGTCAACAAAAGCACGAATTAATTGTCTTTTTGCCGGTTGCCGTTTAATATAGATCTAATATCACACCGTATACGCGCGAGAGGTGCACAGTTTTGATTGATAAACTGATTTTTTAACATAACTACCCACTCCAAATATAGCGAAATGAAATAATTAGCACCTTGGCCTTTAACGCTTTCGTGGTAAAAATTTATTAAAATGAGAACCGCTAAATCCGATAATATCACGAAACGGATTTGTTCGCTTGTATGCTTTAAGAGGTAACACTTCTCACGGTTGAAAGTAACTCATACTGAATGGATAAAGTACCCCCGATAATAAATGCATCGAAAATGGGGTACAATTTTGGGTTGCGCGACCAACGATTCTTTTATACACTGCGGTTATACGGCTTTCGACTCGAACTTTTAATTAACAGTGACATTTCTCGTCATCTCCAAAAACAAAACTCACATGACTCGCCTTGAAAGCTTGGCTTGAAATGCGACAGTCGACTTGCATAGATGCTCTTCGAAGGTTTGACTAAGAGCACGTTTCTCCCACCCAATTTTTACTTATGTGCTCGCCGAGCTTCAGTGATGAAACGACCCTAACGAAACCTAAGCGTTCACTCTCTTTTTAACCACTCGCATGTTAGTAAGGGAGGTATTGCTTTGTAGTAAAAGATGATGCCCCCCCCCCCCACTTTCTTGACGGAAATACACGTTTTGAAGCACCAGGAATCCGAATCAAACAAAATCTCGATGGTGTCGGGAGGTATCTGTGCTAGCCACAGCAAATTTTTTATAAATGCGAAGGTGTAGCAGAAACATCGTCATGACGGTTTGCAGAACCGGCAACACTGTAGCGTTTCGACTCTTATCTGCATGAACACTCGTTTCTGATTCTAAGAATATTACTTTCAACTTTGGTCGTGACGGCCGCCTGAGCACGGAAGGACGCTTTTCTGGCTCATTTGTAAGAGATAAAACCCAAACAAAAAATACAAGAGGGATAGTGAATAGCGCGGCACGTAAATATTGCGATAGTAATGTCTAACGTTTGACACTAACTAACTACTAAAACTAAAGTAACTCGTATACTAAAACCTTAACACTCTAAAAAATTGTTATCTACAACGAATCGTACGTACAAATCGGTGATATATATAAAAGCATTAACTACAAGAAAACTACGATGCACAAATAACTAAATTCCATACAGCAACTGCAATGTGATTAATTCACAATCTAAATAAGAGGAGTCAGGAGTAACGTACCACGTGATGTCTCCAGTGTCAATCTAACTTAAGCTGAGCTTAGGTGAGAAGCCCTACGTGTTAAGAATAATGAGTTAAATCTGTACATACCTTACAGCTAACTACAAACAGCCACAACACATCAGAAATAGAGAGAAAAACTCCAAAAGCTATGATAATAGCCAATACAAATCCGTTTATCAGGTAGATTGTAAGTCAAGAAAGTAATGGCGTATTAAAAAAAATTACAAGTAACCACTGTGAAAGCAGAATTTTCTTTTTCTTGTACGCACGACAAAATTAAAGAAGAAGGGATAGAAATATGTGCAGAAAGATAGCGTGACCTCTAGCGGCAAAATAAAGAATTAAAGTAATAACTCTACCATAGAACTAACTTGCATCTAAACTAAATAGATTTACAGAAGAAATACATAGATGGCGTAAAAATATTGAAATAAATAAAGTCACTAAATATATCTACCTATAAATAGTGACTTTAGAAATAAAAGTATTTTATGGAATTTTAAAATTGTTAAGAAAATGAAAGGTTTAACTCCGTATAGAATAATATTACCGTAAATTAACCTATTGAGAGTTAAATTATCTTTAATTGTATGTACTTAGTACATAAAGTGTAAATACAAAAGTTAGAGATAATTTAATTATCATTAATATGGCACTAATAATAACGGAACTACGGTTATTTGTAGAAAAGTCAAAATATCTGGCAAACCGTGAATATTTTTCGTGTTCTGAGTAAGCCAAATAAAACTACCTGCAAATATTTGCCGATTTAACGTATTTCGTATCTCTTATACTTTTTCAAATCCCCATATTCGTCGAAAAAACACTCTTTATATTAATATTGAATGAACTACCAAAGACGTGTAAATTACGCCAAGAAAATAAATACCTAAATACATCGATAGAGGGCGCACCCATCAAATTTTATGAAATTATGACCGTTTTTGTGTTTCGTCGCAGGTTTTCAAAAATTAATTTTGTTTTTTAAATGTTATGCACAGATGCTTCTTTATGTTGCATATATTAAAAATCAAATTGCGCATTGTCGATCCGTTTCTAAGGTAGTTCATAAGAGAAAATGCCCCAATTTTTGTCTTTATTAAAAACAATACTAACTAATCAAATAATTTAACGACTAATTTTAAATTTGTTATCCTCAACAGGTAAAGCCGAAACATCCCATCAAAGATTACCTCACAAAATATTCCGGAATCACTCCTAACATGATGAAGCATGCGCAAAAGGAACTAAAAGATGTACACGAGGATTTAAGAAGAATGCTACCGCCTGATGCGATTTTGGTAGGACAATCTTTAGGGGGCGACCTGCACGCTATGAAAATGATGCACCCGTACGTAATCGACACGAGCGTTATTTACAACATAACGGGAGACCGTAAACGAAAAACGAAACTGCAAACGCTCGCTCGCGAGTTTCTAAACTTGAGAATTCAGGACAGTCGAAAGGGACATTGTTCTACAGAGGACAGTGGCGCCTGCTTGAGATTGGTTAAACACAAACTCTTGCACGACATATCCTACGGAGACGCCGTCATGACGAACATTGCCACACAAATTAATTGCTACACTGCCCTTGGTAATCCAAATTATGGCACTAGTTTCTTAAAACACATTACGAAAGTTGACAGGACTGCTCAGGTCGTCTCATTGGAAGGTATCATCGAGAAATATCGCCATTACACCTACAAATCTCATGAATCGGTCATAGAGAAAATTAGTTGTGTGGCGGAAAATAATAATGACCTCGTCATTGATCGCCTATGCAAACGCGCGGAGAATTTCTCGTTTAATATCGGCCATGTAGCTTTTACAGACGATGATCTAAATAGTAAAGTGCAAGATACCTGTAGGAAAGTTAACGAGTGGGCAGAGCGAATACAGAAGAGTTCGAAAGAGCCCGGACTGTGTGTTGTTGTTCTTGGGGGACATCATGTATGGAGGAACGGTTGTTGTTTCATCTCTATGAGTAAATGTTCTCATAAAAACCTTTTGTAAATTTTTAATTTAAGATAGATGTATCTATCTACGGAATCATTTTGTTAAAATAAATTTGTTAGTTGTTTAATTTTTCGCCTGTAACTTCCAATAAAACCAGGTGTTGCAAGTTATATACTACTAATTAAGGTAAAACGCGGCAAACCAATATAAACCATTTGGAAAAAAAATTATGGTGTGAAACTTGACTCATGAGAACAAAATTCTAACAGTATCTATTTGCGATTCAGATTAACAGTGAGACCTCTGGGGGCAGCACATTGTAATTAATATTGGTGGGATAAGACCGCCATTTTATTTATTTACAATGCCCAAAAGTAATCAATATTGTAGTTTTTATGGTTGTAAAAGTAGGTAAATACAATTGTAAAAATTTCATTTCCAGTCATTGTAATTACACCTTAAAGAGCAAGAGGGAAGTTTGAAACGACACGTTTTATCACTTTATTTTCCAGAATTTTGAATGGGATCAGGCCAATTATGCAACCAACAGTAAGGATAATTTAAGAAATCGTCGTCTAACGCACAATATTTACAAAGTGTACAAGTGTATGTTATGGAGAGGATATGGTATGGAAACGTTATGTATAGTGAGAATCAACCTTTATGCGGGCCTTAAGCGAAAGGAACGTCCACATTCAACGGTGAGAAACATGGATCAACGGCAAAAGAATGGCTGCGAGGTATTGGTGGTAGTGGCACACCGCATCGGTGGTCAGACGAGATCGAATTCGAAACGGCAAGAATGAATTTGCGCGAGCAGCAAACGCATGGTACAGGGCCAGAGAAGAAGCACTTCAAACTTGGAGGCAATATCGTAGCTGCGTTTGAGAAAACTGACATCGACGTCGATGATCAGTTGCACATCCTAAAGCTGGAAGGAGCCAAAACACCATGTACCTCCGCACTCTCAAGAAATGGAAAAATTACTCGAAAGAAGCGACTCAACAAAAAAAATCGAAAATAACACCGGCCACAAAGCAAGGATGGACTATAATGGAACGAAAAGGCCGAGTCCGTGTTACAATGGGGGTTTACAGTGTACTTGAATTCCATAGTGCTAATTTAATAAGCGTATACCTGAAACCATAAAGGAATTTTTTGGATAATAAAAGTTTATTTAAAAATAGTGGCTGATTAGAACAAAAATAATGAACATGTGCAGTTTTAAGGGTTTATTCAAAACGATATGATTGTGGCGGGCTCTGTGACGTAATAAGTCCGACCAATCAGCTGCTAGTACCATTCACAAACGTCAAATGCGACAAACGCCTGACCGTCGCACAAGGTTGTCGGTTCACTTCTACGTGATTGGTTGTAGGTTTGTGACGTATTTAGACTGAAGCGTTTCAAATTCGGACTTTAAACACGGCTTTTCAATAGGTAATTTATTTTGGATGTATTTTACTCGCAAATAAAAATTGAGGACACACGGGTCTTTTTATTTTGAATGTACTTTGTAGATCAGGAATAAAAATTAACCGGGATGCCCCTATTGTAACTGGTTTAGGCATATTAGTCACGTGATTGCGAAAACCCGGTAGGAACAAGAGCGCCGAGAAAAGAAAAAGATGTGAATAGGAAGCTCGTGTGTTCAAACCTTGAATATACATATTATTTCATTTTATAATTGATTTTATTTCTTTGATTTCACAAAATTTAGGAAGGTCCGTCAAATATTTTGTTTTAAGATTTGCTCTATTCATTAATCACCACAAATCACATGATTACGATACGATTTGGCAACGCTGCGAGATTGAGAGTAGTTATCTTCACGTGGTTTTTAAGTAGGTACAATTGACAGCTGTCACATTTTTAAAAATACCGCCGTCCAATTTAATTACGAAATCGGTTAGGTTATTGTTTAGTATGTCAACGAGGACATACTTCGAACATTTATTGTAATTGTTTGCGTTATTTATTTTCTTCATTTATGTATTGAATAGATCCTCAGAGGAATTCTGAGAATAGATCAAATTAGTAGAATACCAGGTGCACATGACCTACAAATAATTAAAGGTTGGTTCACAATGAATTGTGATGTCAGTGCGTGCCATGTGAAGTCAAGTTATCGTAAGTTTAAGAAAAATTTATCCTAAAGTTGCTATGGCCTCACATGGCTTATTTAAAAAAATCTTACCGAGTGCTCTTCATCATAAAGACTATGAGTTGCTGTTCATAGTCACACAAGTTGCGCGTTTTGGGAATGTGAACCGCGCACACCTCATAGATTGATGTGTTTTTTTAAAAATCGAACATAGGGGAAATTGCATGCAAACTCCTATGTTCGCATTTTAAAAAATCTCACTGTATATTTTGATAATCTTTAATATTTTAGGTATCTGCTTTTTCTTTACATTTATTTTTACATTATAGTTTTTAAACATAAGACCAAAGCTTAAAATAAGCTTATATTTCATAGTACAACTTCCACTGAGTTTAATTGGTTACGAATTACCAATGGAAGAATGAGAAAAGTTTGAATAAGTCCAAGATCTTAGACCATATAGTACATGGACTGCTAATTGTAACTAAAATATGGTCAAGGACATCGCCTGGGTATGTGAGTTTCAGGGTAAAGTAGTCTGTCCGAAGTTGTTCGATTGGACACGATTTGAGACTGTCAACCTATAAATTAACAAACGTCAATTAATTAATCGCCTAGATATGCGTATAGAAGATAATCAAGTTAAAGCTTCCCGTACTACGCGGTTACTATAAAAGCTACAGTTTACGCGATCCGAGTGGTGTTGAGACGACTTTAGTTTACTCTGAGATGAGAGGTTACTTGTCTGGTTGCCCTGGCATCTCAATCTGTATTCTTTAATACCACAATAGATTTTTACGACATTTACCTATTTATAATGTTATTGTTTGTAGGTATGGATGGAGATAATGACACACTACTCATTAAAATCGAACCAAAACAAGAAGAAGAAATCGATTCCTTTCTTCAGGAACATATTTCTATAAGCAATGAAGCTTTGGTGACAATAAAGTACGAAATTACCATTAATGCACTGTGTTCTAAATCTCTTTACAATGAAAAAATCCAGCAACACTCTGACTTTAAAGGTCACGTTTTAACTTCGTCTAAAGATAATTACTCACATTCCCAATACAAGACAAGTAATGAAACCTACTTAAAACAACACTTTGTAAAAATTTTAAATGTAGTAATTGTGATTATGAGACAAGTGTTAAAAAGAACTTAAAACTGCACCTTTTAACACATAGAGCTTCTAAGGATTTTAAATGTGCTGATTGTGACTATGGGACAAATTATAAATGCCACTTTAAACGACATCTTTTAAAACATAAAGTTTCCAAGGATTTTAAATGTGCCGATTGTGATTATGGAACAAGTGTTAAATACAATTTCAAACAACATCTTCTAAAACATAAAGTTTCTAAGGATTTAAAATGTGTTAATTGTAACTATGAAACAAATTGTAAATCCTACCTTAAACAACACCTTTTAGAACATAAAGGTTCAAAGGATTTTAAATGTGGTGATTGTGATTATGCGACAAATTTTAAAAGTAACTTCAAACGACATATTTTAAAACATAAAGCTTTTAAGGATTTTAAATGTTCCGATTGCGATTATGGGACCAATTTTAAACGCAGCTTCAAACAGCATATCGTAAAGCATAAAGTTTCTAAGGATTTTAAGTGTTCCGATTGTGGTTATGGGACGAATATTAAACGCAACTTCAAAATACATGTGTTAAAACAAAGTATCCAAGGATTTTAAATGTGCCCATTGTGATTATGGGACAAATAATAAACAAGTCTTGAAACAACATCTTTTAATACATAAAGTTTATAAAGATTTTAAATGTGGCGGTTGTGATTATGAGACGTGCAATAAATATAACTTTGACCAACACATTTTAACACATAAAGTTTCGAAGGATTTTATATGTGCTGATTGTGATTACGGGACAAATAATAAACACGTCTTCAAACGACATCTTTTAACACATAGATTCTAAAAATTTTAAATGTGCTGATAGTGATTATGGGACAAATAATAAAACCAATCTTGAACAGCAAATTTTAAAACAAAAGAGTATAAAATTTTTAAATGTGCTAATTGTCAGTATGTACTGTATCAACTTGAACCTGATCTTAAATGTGTTTTTACGTTTTTGTAAATCGTAAAATAACTTACACTTGCACATGTAAAACTTTGCTTTTGCGGTATCCCCTTGACGTTATGCAACTCGCATACCACGTCATTTTAAGTACAGGGTGAGTCAACGATTGCGCGGAGTAACTTAATGCCTTGAAGATAAGATTTTTCGTTAGAGTGCTTTTGTATTATGATTTGGTTGAATACTCCACATTTTAAACAAATTTGGAATTATACAGGGTGCGTCCACAAATTAGGGAGCCAAAATGGTACATTTTTTAAATTGAACCCTCTGTATTTGAATGGATTTTTGAATTCTACGTGTAATTGTACGTCTTTTTTATTATATGGTTAATATCCGAAAAGCTAGTAGTTTTAAAGATAATACGATTTTTAAGAAAAATTGGGCATTTGCAAGCGTCAGTATATATTGTCAAAATTATTACTTAAATTTTGATTGCAGGTTTTATATCTTATTCTGGATTAAGTAAAAGTCAAATAAATACATCTACCATAAACATTAAAAATATAGCTTACAGGGTGTTTTTTTTGGTAGGTCCAAAGTTGCAAAACTTCATAAGATCACACTTCGAAAGAACGTGATTTGACAATCCAAACGCGTTTGGATCACCGAAAGAAAAGAAATGGTGTTTAGTAGTAAACGTCAACATATACAGTTATATAACTTGTAATTTGTACCTTAACCTTACTTTCGCGCTGACAAAAATGGATATTGTTTTGTAAGAATTGTTTGAAGATGATATATGACATTACGCTGTAGTGTACCATTGAATAAAAACACTATAAGAAGCCTAACCCCGTGGAAATAAAGCGCGACAGAGTTTGAACTGAGAATATAATGGGAACACTGTCAATAGAGTCGATTCTTGAACTGAGAAGAATGAGAATTTGCTTTCCTCCTATTTACCGCAAAGAGAGTTCGGTGGTCACAACCAATGCGGGTGCAAGGGGATTTGTGAGATTTGTCGCGCTTTCTTCCATAAGCGTTAGGCTTCTTATAGTGTTTTTATTCAATGAGTGTACTTAACCCCCAGGTTCTACGCTAACTTCACACTACAAGAACACGGAAATAAAATAAACCCGGCAACGTTTAAAAATGGCCACCCGAATGACTATTCCCTCTAAAACTAAACAAGATCCCGCTTAAATTTGAAAAGTGGCACGTGATAAAACATCTAAGACAGGGCCCCCTTACGTTAGTTCAAAACAACACCTTGACCTGAAGCACAGTAGGGAAGGAACGTTAAATAAAACACTGAAATTGTGAAAAGTTTGTTTAATAATGATCGTAATTATTATGATTGTGAAAACCCGAAAATTTAGTTGATGTACATTGATATAAACAAAACAAACAAAGCCAAAAGGTGTCGTACTCTCGCAAAAGTCACTGCCAAGGATAAAAAGAGTACGACGTAAGAAAAACCTTGCAGTTTGATTAAAACAGTCCAAAAGTTAATTAACAAAATATTTTGTAAAAATTTAAGCACTAGTTAACAAAGATAGTAAATGCATATACACAATGTTGGTTACACTCAAGGTTAAAGCAAGTTTTTGGGGACAATGGGTCAGGTAGGAGCAGGTACCAAGATTCTGAGAAAGGGTGAAATACACAGGATGTGATTCATCTTTGGTGCAATAAAATCCTTTTGTTGAAAGCAAGATGAAAAATTACATGGCCTTGTAGGCAAATTTGACTAAACACAAAATATGTGGAAATTATTGAATCGCCACTCATTTAACGCACATAGATTCTAAACTGAAGAGCTTTGATTAGCATAATCTCGCTCCTGCAAGATGGGTAGTCCGCCCCTGGTTTCGGGGTTTCGAACCTACAGTTGGATGTCGAAGACAGTGCACGGAATTAGGTGCCCTAACACATAATTATATACTACAGTTTCTTTTTCCACCTCCCGAGACTGCTTCATTCACGGAGAAAATTGTTAGTAACATACAACAAGTCAGTACATACATTAAACGAATCGGTAATTTCCACATATCAAAATAAAATGAAAACTTACATGAATGTAACTTCAAGGACAAGACCAAGTAATCAACATCAATAAACATAAATTAAGCAAACATTACACCAAAAATGTAAACAATTACAAACAATAGCATAACGGTATCACACATATGATTGCATTGCGGTTAAACCAAGTAAATTTCAAAAACAAATATTGAAACACACAAAAAATATAAAATGCGGCAAACAAAACACAAATACGATATAAAGGAATGCAAAAATTACTACCTGCATTAAATAACACAAAATAACAACAAACATTTATGGAGCGAAACGTTCACGACCGCCATTCAAGACAAGATGCCAAACGTAACTCCCGTTCGTGCTTTCTAGGTGGCGCAGGCAACTTTTTCCCACCTAGAAATTGCATGGTTGCCAACTCTCAAAAATGTATGTATCGTCGTAAGCTGTATATACAGGGCGGAACCTCTCAACGCCAAATTTGTGATGGTGCCAATTATTACAAACTGTTGACTTCCACCAGAAGTCACCTTCAGGTAAACTCACCATCTCAACATACTCAACAGTTGTGTCGGCTGAACGTACCCATTGTGTTCCGGCGGCTACAGAGCCATAGAATAGAATATACAAAAGGTTATGCTGCAGTGCAGTACAAAGTCGTGTATTTATTTATATCAAATTCCTGTTGGTTTTGTATTAAAGTAATGGATCTTCAGGTTGATTTCATGGCCCTTATCCCTGACGAATTAAAGCTGCTAATTTTTAAGCATTTAGATAGCTTTAACATAATTACATTGGAGAATGTTTCCCACAAGCTTAAGCATCTCTCCTTTGATAAACAACTTTTGAGGTTCTACCTACCCGAAATGCAAAAAGTGTATTAGTTCATTTGTAGGAGTTTGTATTTCTGTAGAGACTATCGTCTCACAACCTGTCACTGGCTAAGGGCTGTCATGCCACGTCTGGAAATCATTACATCTCTGAACATAAATTGTGTGTATTGGATATCCAGGAGGAACCTTACCAGATGCCTGTCTTTACCCATGTTAACTTCACTGTATGCGCTCGACACTAAATTACAACTGTACGACATCTGCTCTAGCAACTTAACAAGTGTGAGCAGAAGACGAACATTTTCATACGTTTAATTACCATTGTTGCAGTTAAATGTACTTGCACTTACGGTCAAAGGTAGCGGTCCTTTTGACTGTCCGTCATGTAGTGTGTTAAACAATTTAAAGAGGCTGTGTGTCATTTTGGATCGATCCCAAATTCACTCGAGCTTTATAAGGACCTTGATGGAGAAGTGTATGAATGTAGAAGAGTTATGGGTATTTAAACCTCTTTGAATTGTCTATGACTTGGCTCAGTTTTTAGATTTATGCTCTGATTTGGGATGGTATCTTCCCTTTTCAAATATGTTACCCATGAAGGTACTAGTTACAACATACCAAATACCGCCAATTTTTCAACCTGCACTAGATATTGTATCGTTTCAGAGCAATTGTGGCATTGCAAGGATGCGATTTGGTACGTGTTCTCTCTAATTGGTTTCAATTTTTCATCTCACAATCTTATTATAGAAAACAGACATAAAGAGACTGCCGATATATACAATTATGATTTCTACGAAAAGATTAGCAATACAGTATGGCATACATACTTAGGGTATTTAAGGTGCAATTTCCCATTCGGAGTAGAGGATGCAAAAGTAAGTTTAATCAATTGTAGACTGAATAGGTAAGTGATGGAGATTTTTGTACACTATAGAAATTGGTTTACCAAGAAGTAACATTTGACAATATAAATTTTAAAGAATTATCCCTTCATCATGGACCATCTTTCTGCTGCTCTAGATTAAAAGCCAGCATACTATCTATTTTGAGGCTACCAAATACCAAGTTTCTTCAAAAGCTCAGTATTAATATTTGTATTTTTACCAGTAAGTATTATACGATAAACTGTTGGTGTGTTAAAAGAAAACTTTGTAGAAGATATTCTAACGGCAGACACAGGTGAACCTTTATCAGAAAAGGGACTTATAACGTTTGTATCACATTTCGATAGAATTGCTGAACATTCTCCTCTAATTGAAGAATTGGAGGTTTGGGAATGCATTAGTCAGTAGGTAACCATCCCTAAATTGTATACGTTTATATTTTTTTTGTGTAGTTCAACGATAATTATGACTTCTGCAATATGGTCCGCTATTGGAAAGTTATCTAACCTGAAAAAATTATTCATATTTGCTTTAATACCCATCGATGACCAGAAATGTTTGTTTGATGTGAATTATAATCATTCCTTTTCGTATGATTAATATTTTACTTTCAGATTTGCAAAAAATTAACATCTTTGAAACTTACATTTGCGGGAGGAATGCATGAGGATCTGAGCTTGATCTTGCCCAATTTAAAAATATTAAGAGATTTTCGGTAAAATAGAATGTAATAGGTACCGGTTACTAGTAAGTACTTTTGTTGCAGATTTGAACAAAAATATTTACCACTTGATAGAATATTGAAAAGTTTAGCGTCAAATTGTGCATGCACACTAGAGAGGGTTGTTCTACTGGGCGATGTTTGTGACACACTATCACCTAGTTCTTTTGAAGCATTTATTACGAATAATCCACAATTAAAGTTGCTATATGTTTGCATTAGCACCTTTTCTAAAGATGATTTGCGCCTTATTACAACATATTTGAATAGAGTTAAAATGGAACAGCAAATTTTTATTGTAACGAATTCGAATCATGCGCTGCATTTGGTTCCAGACAGTTATGTCATTGAGATGGTACAAATAAATAGTGCAATTAGTGTGATTGATATATTTAATGATTTTCATTAAATCGTGTATGTTTTTGTAATGTGTGTAATAAAAAATTGCATTATGTTCACACTTTGTTTTAACAAGGTTTGGCAGTGGAGGGGAGTGGAGCAGAGAATGAACTTAACATTTACGTGCACATAGCGGCCTCCCTTTTGGGCGCTTTGTACTGCCCCAATAAATAGAGTTAACTGTCCCCAGCGTCATTAAAGCTACCCCATACTTAAGGCAAACTTGAGACTTCCAGGCCAGGAAGTGGCTCAAATGTTCGGCCAGGATTTCCCAGACATGGCTCTCATTTGGACGAGTGCGAGACACTAGAAGAATGTGGTGAGTTGTCCTCTCGCCTATATTCTTAACATTAATCAGGCGTATTGGGTCAGTGGGACTCGTTGCGGTTAGAAAGATGGTCTTCAATCTACTTTACTGTGTCTATATCTTATGGTGTGCTTATGGTAACATAACGCTACGGTTAGGCAACACACCTCGCAACTGAATCGGAGTGTGGGGAAATCATATATACAGTGAGTTTTTTTTTAATGCGAACATACGCTTCTGTATGCAATGTAATTTCCCTATGTTCGATTTAAAAAAAAACGCATCAATCTATGTAGTGTGCGCGGTTCACATTCCCACCACCAAAACGCGCAACTTTCGTGACTACATATGAACAGCAACGGTTTCTATAGTCTTCATGAAGAAGAGCACTCGATAAGATTTTTTTTCAAGAATCCATGTGAGACCATAGCAACTTTAGGATACATTTTTCTAGCGTTTTCGATTGGCAAAACTCGTGCTGCACGAGTGCAATTTTTACGTTCTATTGGTAATTTTAGGGCAATTTTCTGTGTTCCATTGGCAAATGTGATGCAACAATTACGCACTCAGTGCAAATTTCGACGCACGAGGTCCGAGAGCTCGTGGAGCTGCTAGTTAACAAATTTTCAAAACAAACATGTGCGACAATTTGAATTTGTTTCTTCCGTTGGAGAGTTTTTTGTCGTCATCTAGCGATAGTGAAGATTATGAACTAGCCATAACTTCTATTTTACAAAAAGTTGCACTTACTCATTAAACTGAACGCCAAAAATTGGTCCTTTACAGGAATTTCAAATTTATATTCCTCATCGTTTATCATAAATATACTGAAATCGTTTCAGTCATTTTTTAGAATAGATATTTGTCGATTACCGAAATCTAAATGAGGGTTATGGACAAATGACAACAAATATTTATGTTCCATTGAGAGCAATTTTCACATGATTTTTTTCAATTTCTCGTGCAACACTCGTGCAGTACGAGTTTTGCCAATCGAAAACGCTATTATTAGTATGTACTACCACAGATCTAAGAGTGTTTAGATCTGTGGTACTACTTCTATAGACATAAAATTCACAGTTCTAATTTCCAAGCTGGCGACGAATTTTTTAATGAAGGGGGGTGGCCTTAGATCCATATATATAATATGCTTAGATCATATAAACATGGATGGAGCGATGCAATTACAGCATATATATAAGATATATATTATATATATGAATTACAGTCGCCAACATGTTCTGATTCAAGACTCTACATACTTTTGTGCTGTATCTCTCTTGTCGACGTACAATTTATATGTTGTTATTCCATGTACAGTTTCAGTGATAGTAACCAATCAGAAAATTCAAATCTTTAACCTCACAATGTTAATAAAGTTGCACTTACTCATTAAACTGAACGCCAAAAATTGCAATATTTATTATTTAGGGTAAAAAAGGTTCTCAATACATGAATAAATACATCTTTATAGGACAACTTAGTGGTACAGAACAGTATTAAAAGTTTAGTTTCATATATAACCATGTAAAGTCGAGCAAGGTTAAACAACAAAAACAGCTGTTTGCGAATATACGATGTCAAACGGACAAACGTCCTTACAATCCATTACAATCGCCAAAGCTTGCGCACATTTACAATCAACCCGGCAAAGGATAAATACATTACAACTTACTAATAGTAAAAGATGATAGGCATAAAAATGCACGTTGGAATGTTGGCGACGGTTGTCTTTTAGTAGAGCTTATGAGATAGCTCTATCCATGTTTATATGATCTAAGGGGTGGCAATCATTTTGACTGTATTTTTATCCACAGTTCACCTCCCGAGTTTCAAGTTACCACTTTAACGCAGCTGAGCGATGGCCATAGAACAACAAACTTAGAATAGAAGCAGCTTTTGCGTGAATGGCGCCAAATTTAAATTTTAAAATCAACTATGTAAGCTAAGTCGCCATTATACTGAATTTCTCCGGATCTGTAACAATAACATTGGATTTGACTCGCTGAAACCTGAAACCTAAAACGTAATATCACAGATTTAAACACTTTAAATCTGTGGTAATATTTACATCCGATTTGAGCTTTTCTCAGGCGTCTTATAGCAACAAAAATGGATATCGCGTATCATACAAGTGTGGTGATGTGGTCTTTTGTTTTTCAAATTGTACAGGGTGGCGCAAAAAGAACGCGTGGAGTTCAGTAACCTAGATTACCTAATAAAGTTATAGTGTACTTAATCCCCTAACTTCACACTACAAGAACACGGAAATAAAGTCAACCCGGCAACGTTTAAAAATGGCCCCCGAATGACTATTCCCTCCAAAACTAAAGATCCCGTTTAAATTTGAAAAGTGGCACGTAATCAAACATCTAAGGCAGGACCCCTTTACGTTAGTTGTAGACAACACTTTGACCTGAAGCACAGTAGGGAAGGAACGTAAAATAAAACACTGAAATTATGAAAAGTTTGTTTAATAATGATCGCTATCATTAAGATTGTGAAAGCTCGGAAATTTAAGTCGAAATAAATTACATTGCAAAAAAACATTGAAAATGGTAGTTGACCGAATAAAAATAGAAATAGGCTGGAAAAAAGATGAACTTACCAATAAAAAAACCAGCCGTCAAATTAATATCAAATTGTGTTGTAAAATTAATTGTTTGTAATGATGTGAATGCGTAACATAAAATTATAACATCACAAAAAGTAGCATGTAAACTTCAAGAGGTAACATATAGGTTAAAAACAAGTTTTGGGAATTGGGTCAGGTAAGCAGGTACCAAGATTCTAAGAAAGGGTGAAATACACAGGATGTGACTCATCTTTGGTGCAATAAAGACCTTTTGTTAAAAGCAAGATGGACAATTTCACGGCCTTGTAGGCAAACTTCAATAAAAACAAGATATGTGGAAATTATTGAAACGCCACTCATTTATCGCACATAGATTCTAAACTGAAGAGCTTTGATTAGCGTAATCCCGCCCCTGTAAGATAGGTAACCCGCCCCTGGTTTCGGGGGGTTTTTTTTTTGCAAATTTATTAACAATTTGTTCGGAATCGACGGAAGCATCTCTTTCTATATATCAAAGAAAAATATTAGAGAAACGATCTTGAGCCATTGCTGTTCTTATAACCAGCTCATAAATTTCGCATAGCCGAAAATCCTTTCACAGGTTGCTGAAGAAACTGGCAATATAATTGCAGCTTGAGAGATGACTCACTAGTTCACCGACCGACCGACGCCAACGCCTAAAATCTTCCGCTCGGGTAGCAAGCGAGTTAATAAAATACAGGTTTTCAGGGCAAATATAAGTAAGCCGCATAGGAATTATGATTTGTTGCATGGCTTGGGGGGGGGGGCTGATTTCGGTTGGGGGGGGGGGTTAGTTGCGCCTATGATGGAGGGGCATCGCGCGTTCACGGGTTTTTCTCATTTTTCATTTTGTTTGTTGTGTCTTGAAGGTCTATTTACAGGTAGTAATCATTTTATTCTTTCTTGTACTAAAGAATAAAACTATGAACCATTGAATGTCATGTCATAATTTGTTATTATTTACATTTTGCATAAAATACCGATATCTAAGCGTAGCGTCTTATTCTCATATGTCTATGGGCGTATTAAAGTTTTTGTTTACGTATCGTTATCCGAATCATGTTTGTTATCGTTATACTGACAGGCGATTATGCCATTATTTTGTTTCATTATGAAATTTTGATGTACCTACACCTATTCATGTGCAAGTGGATTATCAGTATGAGGTCACCTTGAAAAAGGAATCGCATGCAGTTCGATTTGTCGCAGTATGCAGCTCTTGGCATCTTAGTAACACTCGAAATAACTAAATAACACTTCCTTTATTTAAAATATGCTATTGGGTATTTTCCGAGGTATTTTCACATTCTTCTCACTTTTCGTGTTAAATTCATTATGTTAACTGAAGCTGGAGTAGAGCCACGCCATTTTGTTGTGTTTTCTATGTACATGCAATTTATCATTTTTAGATGTTTTGTCTAAATTGAACCGTAGATGTGTTTCATACTCAAGTGATTTATTTTGTTTACAATCTACTGTAATTATGATGCCATTTATTATATCTCGCTTGATTAATTTGTTTAGCCACATTTGACTTGATTACTTGATTTTCGTTTTTTGCTTGCTGGTTCTTTTTCCCTGGCTTTTCGGTTTTGAATTTGCTCCGCGGAACCAAGCCTCGTACGTAATAAATTTCGTTTTCTTATTCCCTAAAATTCTGTTTTATTTAATTCCGCCCCAGGCTGTGTCTTACGTCCTAGCACATAAATCAATCGATTACACAACGCACGAGTTCATTCGTACCACAGAGTTGTATAGGTATATAGTACATAGAGAAGCAGGAGGACCTTCGCGTGGAAAAATAACTCCAACTACAGTGGCCATATACCTATATAGTTTCAACGGCCGGGCCGTTGTGAAACATGCGCGGTGCTTTCGCAGCTACCTTGTTGATTCGTCACTATCTCCATTTGGTTAGTGCGCACACTCGCATACGGCCTGCGCAAGATTCAATTGGGGTCAATTATCCACAACACTGTTTCTCTATTTACTATATACAATTCTGTGATTCGTACTCTCCTTTATTGGGCCAAGATTTTCAGTGTCGGATTGGGGAACTTCTAGTGTACCTATAATACAGTCTGATTTTTCGCTGTATCTGTTGCATTCATTCTTGTGCTGACTGGAGCTCTTGCGTCTTCGCATATATGAGAAGTGGGGTCCTCTAATAATCATTTCCTCTATTTATGTTTTGCTTAGGCGATAATGGACTTTAACATGAATATAGGTACTTACTATTGGTATTCTCAACTGTACTTTTCGTGTTAAATTAATTCAAGTCGATGCTGGAGTAAAGCTATGCTTTTGACGTTACCTTTTTTGTACATGCAATTTACGTTAGATGCAAATAGCTATTGCCAACTGTAAGTAGAGGGCAAGTCAAAATTGCAGTGCTGGTTTGGGGGGCTCCTAAGACCATTATAATCTATATTTTGCTGCTATGGCACGCATATTAATTCAGTGTAAACATTTTTTTTGGTTTTTGAGAAAGACTGGTCGAGCCGCAGATAGTTCGTCCTTGATTACAATCAGAAGGACGTGCAAGATCGATTTAATCTGAAAATATTCAAATTAAATGAAATTTGCAGGTGCTCTTATTAAATTTTATAATCTTGTAAAATTTTTGTATAAAGCTGTAAGTACAGAAAACAATCGATAAAACTCGTTGCTTGTGTTTTTCGGGAATGTGTGTTTTACGAAATGTGGATTGAAGAAAGAAAGATTCGTGATTTCGCGTTTCAGGTCAAAATTTATAATAGAGTGTGAAGTTAATTAACCGAAAAATGTAATCAACAGTGAAGATTGACCAAGATTGTTGTGTATACAAAAAACACGTCCGGAGGACAGGCACCAGCAAGTGTTAAGACAGCGAGATGGGTGGCATTTTTCTGTTTTCGTCTGTGTTTGATGATTAAGTTTGTTTCAGGGCTGTAGGAAATTTTAAAAAAATGTTGTCACGTGTGTTTATGAACCCAGTAAATTTGGTGTTTCACCTTAGTTTGGGCAAGCCAAGTGATAATTTCTAAAATAAAAATTTTGTTAAAGTGATTGTTAAAATAAGTAATTCAATTCTGTACTATACCTAGTTATTGGGGGATTTTGAAGTCATTTTGAGTGATGAATAACGGGGTGACAGTTTAATTTATTTTAATAGGTAGTAGCCTTGAAATTCCTTTTGGTGGTTCATACCGGGCATCCAGGTGAGTTACACAGCAATTTTATTTAATTACCTGACATGTTCCTTCACTCAACAGTAAGGGTGATAATTTCTAAAAGACAAAATTCCAATTTTATTGATAAATTTAGTACAAACATTTTAAATATAAATAAATGGTAATATTTAATAGTCGAAAATTATACCAAATGACATGCATTCCTTCACCAAAAAGTAATTTGGTAACGATTAAAAATTTATTTGTCAGACTTTACACTTATATTATTTGTACTTACATCTAAGTTGTACTATTATAATCTAATTACGTCTTTTTCTGATCAGCCAATTTCTGCAGCCTACCCATAATCAAATTTATGTCCTGATATTTCATGATCCTTACGTATGTACTACCCCGTACAGTTTCTACAGTCATCCACTCTTTCTCCTCTTTAGCAATCGCCTGTATGCTGGCCTCGACGTCTGATTTTGTTATAATACTAGAAGCGGAGCTCCACAATTTTTCCGTAAGCGCTTCGATTGGCATCACATTTTTCTTATCAGTTACGAATATGTTACGTATCAGTCTTGCTATTTCGGGAAGGCGCGTGTATAACTGAATTTCTTTCTCCTTGTCGACAGATCTGGTCATTAATTGTAGCGCCTTCGCCGCCTGCCGCTGGCGTACTTTCTCCAATAGTGCTTTCGGAATACCCTTCAAGACGGATTCCTCACGTACTTCGGGCTGAATGGTCGGCGAACCTTGATAATTTTCCAAGGCGCGTTCCAAACGCGTCTTACAGTTAAAAAGAGCACGCGCCTTCTCCAGCACTTGACTACCGGTGGTGAGCTCCTCGTCGCGAGGCGGCTGAGGTAGAGGTGACCTTTCAATGTCGGGCACTTTTTCGATATCAAAAAGCGGATGCCAACGCTTGATGTTGTCCCGTTCCACTTTCATTGGGGGGTCCAAAGTCATGAGAAATTCGTCGTGATAGTCTTTGACCTTTTCCATTAAAATGGAAAACAGCTTTCTTCGCCTTTCTAAGAGAGCCGACGGTTTCATTGTAGGTTCATCCAACTTCGGCAACAATATCAATTCCCATGCCTCTTTTCGTGTGCCTGTACCAAATTCGCGCAATTTCTCTTGATGAAATGTAAACGCTTCGGGATACAAATGCTTTATTTGCTCCAAGTGATGCTCATTTAGATTCTGCTTCAGCATCACTTCAACACTCGGTTTAAGTTTCTTAAAGGTGATTGACTCTTTGCGATTATACATAATCTGGCATATTGTATCGATGCTACGAAATATTTCCGCAATTTTGCGATATTTGTAGGGTAAAGTAAGAGAGCTGGTGGCGGAAGAGATTGTCTTAGATGGGCTTGACGGCTCTAACACGGCTTTCGTTGGGCTTTGGGCATTGAATAAGTTTCTACACACGGATGAAGTGTCTTTTTTGGGACTAAGATAACTCTTAAGAGGTGACTGCGGCTTGGACGGGCTTACATTCACTTCCAGTTCGATAGACTTGAAGTTCTTCAATGCAACGGTCTTTTCTTCCGCCGCCGCTAATTTCTTTTCGCATTCTTTAAAGCGAGATATTGACGCTTTCAGTTCTGCCAAACGTGAGCTTCGACTCAATTTTTGCTTCAGTTCCGAAAGTGTGGGTTCGTTACCTGGATAAAGAAATGTTAAAATTAGTCAATAAGACTTTGAAACATATTGAGAAAGAAAAGCAGGTTATGGGTTCTAGTTTACTCAAGTTTCTACTTTTGTTGTCGTCTTTATCATTTTACTTCAAAAATTCAACAGGATGGTGCACCCGCGCACAACGCCCTAATCTATCCGACAAATTTTCTAGAAAATGACACATTTGTCCGATAAGTTTTCTCGCACAATTAGGTCGTTGTGCGTGGGTGCACCATCCTCTTGAAACTTGAACTTGTTTCTTTGTGTCTGTGTCGTACATCGTTGTATTTGCAATAAAAAATGCTATTCAATACAGTACTTTTTTACGGGCCATATAAAAAATAATAATAATCGGAAGTAATAGAAATTTTCTGGTTTTCTTTAAAAATGGAAATAACTCTTTTCTCTAATTTGATCATCGTCGGATCTTCAATGGTTTCCAAGATACTCATGATAGGACATCCTTATCTTGAACACAGTGTATACAGCGTAACAATAGATATCCCAAATATACACGTAGATGCATTGGAAAACAGAGAATATCAATCAGTGAATTAAGAATAGTAACTTGAAATTCTTATGCAATTTTTGTCTTGCGCCTTGCCAATCAAAATCTGTTGTAAATATACTAAAATACAGTCCAAATCGATGGGAAATTCCTTTTTACCCATAGGAATATAGGGGAACGGTTTTTACATTGTCGCTTCCTTTTTTTAAAAATATTCAAAAAAGATAAGAAGTTATTTTATACATACTCAAATTTTACATTGGATTACGTTTTTAGTTTTCTTATATTATTGCACGAGAAAATTTTTTTGACCGTGGAAAAATATTTTGCCAGTTGGCCCATGGTGGGTATTTCGGTAGTTGGCTCGCCATCTTGGATACCATTGTGCACTCACTATCTTAGATGCTATTTTGGACCCGCCACTATTAGATTCACAATTGGGATTTGTTAAAATCTTTTTACGTTGATATCGCACTCTGCTATTTCGCGTACCGATCGATACATGCGTCAAGTCACTTCCGTCGTACCATAATTCTGTACACTGGGTTTCCGTTGTCACCTGCCCGTCAATATCGAGGGTACGAAGTTTGGCGGAAAATCTAGTAGTCAGTTTTAAAGATATTGAAACATCTAAGACATTGAAAAATTATTAAAAGAATACCCGCTACATAAATTACGCAATGTTTTTAGAATCTCATGGGTTATCAAAAAAAGGTGGAACCGGAAGATTTAGGTTTTGGTTTGGAGCGTTCGTGTTCGCTTTCCAATTTTAGTCCGATCGGCGTTTCGCCAAGATTCTACAAACGAATGTACGCGTGTACTGATGGCTGCGAGGGTTTGCACTTCACGATGCCTTTGTTGTGGTAGGAAAGTTACGGCATTATATACTGATCGAACAATGAAAACCATACGTTTGTAGATCGGTATCAGGTGTTTCGTGACCAGCATTCTTTTGTGGCAAGACTAATACCATTATCTGTTCACCATACATGGTATTAATCACGTTCATTTCTAACAACTTATACTTTAAATGGCGCGCAACCTTTGGACTTGGACGGCTAGGAATGAACTTTGAATGGCGACCACCTTTTGGACTTTAATCGATGGTTATAGTTTTAGTATCGCCATTGATCTGAGCTTGAAGTTGTAAGTGTGCACTAAAATAGCCTTAACCGATTTTAGTACAGTAGCTTTGTTGCAATCATGGTGAGTTAAAACCAAAACACGGAGTGATATACTATATGCGTGATTCTCTTATTTAAAAAATTTCTCCAACAATCACCGACGACGCGGGTGCAAAGTAGGATCCAAGATGGCGAGTTCAAAATGGTCGGCCAACTATCGCAATACCCAATATTTTCCCACACTCCCCAGAATTTTCCCAGGCTCACGTGACCCCGTACCTACTCACGGCTTTCTCAAACCGAACTCAAGAGTGTTTTGTAAAAACGAAAATGCAAAAACATTTTTTAACAAAGCACAACTCGAAAATTGGGCAATACAGGAAAATTTAAGGCAAAATGGTAGTCACATGTAAAAGTTGCATGATCGTTTTTCGAAACAGTATATCGGGAAATAACCCACTCCCCCCCTTAAGACAACAAAATTTGAAGGTCGTCTGGCACATCTTTAAGATATAGGCTAAGTATTGCATTCCAGGACCCTAGGATAATTCGCACAAAAGTAGTTCAAAACCGTAGAAGTGGGTCCGGACGGACGGACACAACCAAAACCATTAGAACTTTTAAGCGCATTTTACAACTCATGTTTGAAACGCGCTATTATGGCCACTTTCTCCGTCGGTTCGAGACCTTAACTACAGTTTTCAAGATATTTTGTTCGTTCTTTTTTCATTTGGTAGCTTATAGCTCTGGCATCTGAACTAAGAAACATCTTGACAAGTAATGTGCGCATGCGCAGGTTGCGCAATGCTTTTTTTCTTATGTATGGAGATATTTTTTTGAAATTTTAACAGATGCGTATAGTAAAGACAAGCATATCGCATATTGTGAAAATCAGATATGCACATGTCAACTTTCTTATTTATGGAGATATTGTTTTAAAATTGTAACCACGATTTCTAAACCTGCTTTATCATGGTCCTTCATTTTCCAGAATTAAATTAGATTATAGGTACTTACTTACTTGTATTTAAAGGTAATATTCTGAAATTTTTTTAGATACTTTATACCAAAAAATATACGTGGTTTTGGGTAGGGGAAGGAGGGTTACCCTTAAACTTCACGTATGACCAGGGGGAGAGGGAGGTTTAAAAAGTTGTTATAGGGATTAATCTGTCATCGGTATGATAACTGTACAGGGTGTCGCAATTAAGCATGTCAAAAAAAGTGAGTGGTAAATGAGAGTAAAAATAAGCATTTTTTTTTTCAAATAAATCGAATGTAATATATTTTGTGTTTCTCAGGAACCATAGTGGAAGGATATAGAATTCACTGCTTTACCTAGGTTTCTCGATATGGTTTTTTTGCTTTCTTTTGTGTAAAAATATTTCCAAAATTCCTAACTCAAAATGGTGCAGCCCTCGGCGAAATTTGAAAATTGGAAAAAATTCCAGGTGCACATTACACCTCAAAAATGGTCGTAAGTTCATGAAATTTTGTGGGTAAACTATTTATGCACTTGTTCCCTTTCAGAAAGCTCAAAACTCAAAAACTGTGCTATGTGGGAGAAAGCCCTGGAGAAAGCTAAAAACGCAATCTAATGCATAACTCGAGTACACCTAAATATTTTCAAAAATAGGTGAGATATCTTGCTAAAACGAATTATGGCATTTTTTGAAAGCCGCGTTACTATTTCAGGTACATAGGTCAAAACGGCAAAGCGTAATCAAAGTCTCTTGGAAAACCAGTTTCCAATATTCCTACGGATAAAGTCCTAGTGGATTTTGTATTTTGTTCGCAATCATAAGAAAAATGCAAAGTACTTAAGATCTTCCTCCTGTTTTACCGTGTTCGCAAGTTTTTTACACTAGCAATGTATCCTAAAAAGGGCAAAGATAGGTTTTTTTTTTATATTAACACAAGTTTTGAATAATTGATTTGATATTCTGGGAGAGTGACAAAATAAGTTGAATAATAATCACTGATAGTCCCAGTTATCCAAACCACGTATGGGTATATCTGTGAAGGCAGAATGTCCAAGGATATCCATCAAAATCTGAGGATAACCCTCTGGATTTCTGAGGATGTGAGAAAAAATGTAACAATTATTTGAAAAACTTGCACAGGTAAAAGCAGTTGAATGACAAAGATTTAACAAATAGTTACAAAGCCATAACAACATTTGCAATACATTACTGAACAGCTCCTTTTATGCTCCATTTAATGACGTACAAGTCCAAAATGGTGGCCATAAGAATTGTAAATGGACAGGATTGCTAAAAAAACTAGAAGGCCTACAAAAGATTCGTTCACGCCATGTGATTGGCGTAGTACAAAACTACCAAATTTTACTAAATTTGTTTATAAGATGGCGACGATATCTCAATTTTTACAAAAATATAATGTTTAGTTCCTGCTTTTATTTTAAAATCTCCATAAATAGGTATTTTTAATTTCGATACAGCACAATACCGCAACAATTTAACCAAAATTGTATCACTTATACCGTTTTAGAAATCCCATGGTGTTGCTTTTATCTGGTACACCCTGTATATCAAGGTATCAACTGTGTTGTTTAATTCCAAGGGTGCAGCTGCACCTGAGGGATTAGGACAGACTCTAGTCCTATGGTATATTCTGTGTACTCCTGTAACCGACTAACACAATTTCAATATTAAAAGTCCAAATTTAAATGGTAAAAATGTTGTTTGATTCTCGGTTTGATAGTAGAATCAAGATACCTTGTAATGTTACGATTGTTAGGTACAGCAATAAATGTCAGTATAATAATTTTTAAATTCTGTACAGAATGACTGTGCAGATGTAATTGTTTAAAAATCGGCGAAGAAGAAGGTATGAGATAATTACGCTGCCTTCCAAATCCAAAAAGATATATGGAAAATGGTAGGAAAAGTGATACTTTAGTCCCGTAAATGGAAGGCAAACGGATTTGGATTAGATACATACCTGTAAGCTTTAGTTTATCTAAAGCATTTGTACTTTTAGTGGGAGTCTTCGGTAGCTCAAATGTAGATATTGTTTCCTTCGGACTATCAAGTTCCCGTACTTCAGGATTGGGAACGGTTACGGAATTCTTTCCCATATTACAGACAAATGTTTCGATATGTCCCGTATTAACGATCGGTTTAGATTTTTTTGCTTTCGGTGTTGCCGATCGTTTCGTTGACTTAACTTCACGAGTGCTTCTTGTAGATTTAACAATTGTCTGTGATTCGACTAATCTCACCATCCTATCGGTACCATCGCTCTGAGGTAGACAGATCGATTCCTTCGAGTCTAACATTAATACTTTTCTGGCTACGTTAATTTTCGAATCCTGATGTGCAGGACGTTTTCTGTTGTTGAAGTAATTCAAAACGGATGGCTGCGCCATTTTTGTCACTTATTTTAGGAGAAATTTTGTACGGAATTTAAATAACCAAGCACATTAACTTGACAGCCAAAACACAATCGTAACGGTTTCCCTCCAGATTTGTCCTACAAAGTTAACGACTTTTTAGTTCCTTTTTCAAATTCCCCATTGGCCATTTAACTCAGTGGCGTATCACTTAGGTTTTCAACAGCCAACTGACATTTTTATGATATACAAAGCGACTCGGAAAAATGTATGAATATTCACGTAAGTCACAACTTCCGCTCGCAAATCTCTGTGATGCATTGTAACATTCTTAAATCCATTGTACCTATAACATAAGAGCACTTGGGGCGCAAGAGTTTGAAATAAAAAAAATAGTTTGTATTCTAATACAAAACGATGATGTATCAGCCATAGAGTAAACGTTATTTACTCTATGGTATCAGTTATTCGCCATTTCGACTAAAGGCCGTATTAGACGATGCAATTTTTATTGCAATCCTTGCAGCAACTATTGCTGCTATTATTGCAGCATTTATGGCAAAAAGATGCAATGATTACACTATGCAATTTATTTGGCAATTTTTTTATACCCAATTCTAATCATGTATTGGTGCCAATGAAAGTGGAATTGGCATCACTGGGAAATGCTTGAAAGCAACTTCACGTCTGTTGTAGACCAGGAAACGTGTGTTTTGTGACGTTTGTTGAAGGCCGTGCAATTTATTATTTATATTTGAACGCACTTATTCACACTCAGGCTCGTTAAATTCATTGAGTAGGTTTAGGTTTCCCTTTGTGAAATCGTTATTGGCAAGCCACTGCCTGGTCCAAAAACGTCGTCGTCTTCTTTGTTTATTTTTTTTTAAAAGAGCAACAGCAGACGCAATAACTAAAGATGCGGCAGCAATATCCATTTTTGAATTCCTCGTAAATAGGTTATTTCAGTTTTAACTTTAAATAACAAACCTGTATATAGCATAAGGAGGTAATGTTCTCCAGTGCATACCACTTTATTTTTTTTATAAATTAAATGTTACTAAAATAGTTACTAAATTGCAAGAAAAATTGCAAGAAAAATAGCACAAGTTCTATAACCAGAAAATTGCAGAATGTCTTGCTGCAATATTTGGCGCAAGAAATTGCACGTGCAATTTTAACATACACGGAGCAATTTTTCGTGCAATTTCTTGCGGCAATGAATTGCTGCAAAAATTGCAATAAAAATTGCATCGTCTAATACGGCCTTAACTGTAAATCACGTGACCACAATCGCAAAAGGGCCGTCGTTCTAAGTAACTTGTGCAAAGCGCCTTTTTCGCTCACATTGATTTCACACGAATAGATTACGCTTACCTACTGTTCAACAAAAACGAAAGACCTGTCTTATACTTACCCATGGTTTTCGACAACTCGACTAACTGTTGCACAAATACTTTCCGCGAGTATACTTTCCCCGGAAATTCGGACAACGCAAAAGTTGAAACCCTCAGGGGGGAAATTCGGTGCTCGCTCTGGTTAATCAAACCTTTGACAAAGTCAAGTTTGTCCGCAAAAATAGAGTAGATAATAAGCACTTATACAAGCATTTAAATCTATAAGGTGACCATTGATGGTGAGAATGTATCCTGACACCACATCCCACCAGATAGCACTACTCAAGAAATCCGAAGAACGGCTTAAAGAATTCTTCCATTATGAGCCTTTCGCTGTTCGATACAGTCGGAATGAGGAAGACGCCCAAGTCAGTGTTATACTATGTATGACTTCTGTACACCACTGCATGAGGTAAACTCGGAAGGATCACCTTTTGTCAACCATGGTAGATTTCTTCTCCACCGGGTTGTCTGAAAGAATGGTGAAATATTCCAATTAACGTCGACTAGGTACCTAAAAAGGCACTACAACCAAAGTGGGAGAAGTGCAGTGTTCGATGGTTACTCGAAAGACTTGCTCACCAAGAGCAGCAAATCTGTTGAGCGCCTCCGCCGAAGCAAAAGGTACACCACTCCTGAGGACCATAATTCAGGAGATACTTGAGAACTTAGCTAAAAATACAGATGTGGTTAGGCTCAATCAATGGTTTGTGACTACTGCAAAGGAAACTTTTGTACTAACTTCCTCCAACCATATGCTGACCAAGAGCTGGACTGTATGGGGCGACGGAAATTACAGACTTTGAGGATCCGAGTGATGGCGACGGATTTCGTATAGGAAATAAAAATAACAGACTTTGAGGATCCCAGGGGTCCAACGGCAATAATTAAACGTCGATGTCTGTAAAATTTGTGTACCTATCCTATTTTTAGCGCATTTTTTTAGAATTAAAAAAATGTGCTATTGTTTGCGATTTGTCCGTCCGTCCGTCCGGATCGGCTTCTGCGGTTTTGAACTACTTATTTTACACAACTTACACTTACTTATAGACAACTTACTTACTTTACTACAAATTTCGCTGTCTCAGGGGGGGCTCCCCGCGAACTATTTTCTGAGATGCTGTTTTTGAATGTAAAACGTGCATAACTTTTACATGCGACAACAAACTGGTCTCAGAATTTGCATACGTATGCTGGAGGAGGGACTGGTTTTATCCTTCATGGTAGTCTAACTAATGATAGGTCTCAAGGAAAGGAATTAATTTACCATAACCATAACCATAGATTCCTCCTCGACTCCTTGTCGTGTTCGGATATACATTCCTTATATCTCAAGAACAGATTGTCTGAGAATGATACTCACAAAGGGCGATTGGGACGTCGTGAACGCGTTGCTTCATAAATATTTGTTGTTATTTTGTGTTATTTAATGCAGGTAGTAATTTTTGCATTTCTTTATATCGTATTTGTGTTTTGTATGCCGCATTTTATATTTTTTGTGTGTTTCGATCTTCGTTTTTGAAATTTACTTGGTTTAATCACAATGCAGAATGACATGTTTAATACCGTTATCCTATTGTTTGTAATCGTTTACGTTTTTGGTGTAATGTTTGCTTAATTTATGTTTATTGATGTTGATTACTTGGTCTTTCCGAGAAGTAATAGTCATATAAATTTTGATCATTTTATTTTAATATGTGGAAATTACCGATTCGTTTGATGTACGTACTGACGTTGTTTGTAACTAACAATTTTCTCCGTGAATGAAGCAGTCACGGGGGTGATAAAAACTGTAATCAAATGGAGTTACCACACCTAATCCCGTGATTGTCTTCAACTGTAGGCTCGAAACCCTGAACGAGGGGCGACGCTACCTATCTTGCGGGGGCGAGATTATGCTAATCGAAACTCTTCGGTTTAGAATCTATGTACGATAAATGAGTTACTATTCGTAATTTCCCCATATTTTGTTTTTAGTTAAATTTGCCTACAAGGCCATGTAATTTTCCATCTCGTTTTTAACAAAAAGACTTTATTGCACCAGAGATGAGTCACATCCTGTACTCTTAACCCTTTCTCAGAATTTAGGTACCTGCTCTTACCTGACCCTTTGTTTCCAAAATTTGTTTTTAACCTTGAGTGTAACTAACATTGTGTATATGCAATATGCATTTACTATCTTTGTTAACTATTGCTTAAACTTTTACAAATTTTTCATGGACTGTATTAATCAAACTGCGAGGTTTTTTTACGTCGTACTCTTTTTACCTTAAGCAGTTACTTTTGCGATATTACGACACCTTTTGGCTTTGCTTGCTTTGCTTATATTAATGTGCATCAACTAAATTTCCGGGCTTTTACAATCTTAATAATCACGATAATTATGAAACAAACTTTTCACAATGTTAGTGTTTTATTTTACGTTCCTTCCTTACTGTGCTTCAGGTCATAGCGTTGTTTACAACTACCGTAAGGGAGCCAAACGTTGCCGGGTTCACTTTATTTCCGTGTTCTTGTAGTGTGAAGTTGGGTGAGGGTTATAAGTACACTACAAATATAGCATGGCTACTACATTATAACGTAACCATTTATAAATAGTAAGGTATTTCGGTTTAAAAAAATGTGCTTTATCTGCACAAGACTTGTGCACAATTTATACTTGTTTCCTCTTTTCTTCACACTTTAAACTATAAATTTTTATTATTTTGAAATATAATCATTACGTACTGTTTAAGAATTGTGTTTAATATTAGTACTAAATGAGTAATATCGTACGTAATTAAATATCTCAACGGTACTATGTTTAATATACAGAGTGGCCCAACGAGAAGTATACAGAGGGCTTTTAGGGTATTAAATTTAGAAATTTCGAAAAATCCTCGAACTCGTCAATTTTGTATTCGAGGGGGACAACTTTTGGAATACAAACCACGAACCCAAGTCTTCACCCCTCTACGTAGGGAGCTTTACCCCTAAAATTTTAAATGGAATCCTATGGCCAATGGCACATTATTTGAAAGCCAATTTAATCGTGATTACCAATCTCCTTTACTTTTTAAATTCTATTGATTCGTTTCGGAGATATTCGCATTTCAAATGGTTTTTTCCCCTGATTTAAGTCCTTTAGATTACTTCTTGTGGGGATATTTAAAGAATAAAGTTTATATGCTACTCCGCCCGGAACATTACAAGGGTTGCGAGCACGTATAACCATAGTGTAAGAATAGAATACACTATGTTATAACTCAACAATTTCGAGCGATTACCCCTGAAATCTTGCAACATGTACGGCAGCGTTTTGAAGCAAATCTTTATTATTGCATGGAAGCAGGCGGAAGGCAATTCGAGCATTTATTGAAATAAATGTTGTGTGTTTAAAGTTATTTGTTATTTTTTGCACAACTTAAACCTTGTATTAAAATTTAAAAATTTTAATACAAGGTGACGATCGCATTTGTTTTGGTTTTTTTAGAAACCATTTCAAATGCGAATATCTCCGAAGCGAATCAATAGAATTTAAAAAGCAAAGGAGATTAGTAATCACGATTAAATTGGCTTTCAAATAATGTGCCATTTGCCATAGGATTCCATTTAAAATTTTAGGGGTAAAGCTCCCTACGTAGAGGGGTGAAGACTTGGGTTCGTGAATTGTATTCCAAAAGTTGTCCCCCTCGAATACAAAATTGACGTGTTCGAGGATTTTTCGAAATTTCTAAATTTAATACCCTAAAAGCCCTCTGTATACTTCTCGTTGGGCCACTCTGTATGTAAATAACACGTTTTCCATAGATATGTAAAATTTATTTAACTTCGGTGAGTGCTAGTATTGGAACGGAGGGTCCAAAAAATATGCGCCTGGTCTTACTCAATGCAAAATTTAATGTCCTAAACCTTTTAATTGGATTGTGTTTTTGATATTGTAAGGTTTTTACAAGATATAATCGTAAAACCGCAAAAATACCCTTTTTGTAGGATTTAAATCCGATTCGTCTAATTTGATGGTTTTATTCTGCTGGTCTATACCGTTGTGCCCCAGGTTGAACGCATCATAGTCAAAAAGGGTTAATGTATTTTTTCGCGAAGAGTCGTCGAGGCTTTTGATATGTAGTTCGTTGAACGTTAATTTCAGAGCCCTTGTGGATCGGTCGCCAAAAATACATTGTTTTCCCTACGGTGCGTTCTACCTGAGACACACGTGTATATTTTATAGCAGGCGTGGGCAACCTTCTAATTGTAATCAAGGACGCAACTATCTGCGACTCGACCAGTCTTTCTCAAAAACCAAAAAAAATATACACTGAACTGAACTAATATGCGTGCCATAGCAGCAAAATATAGATTGTAATGGTCATAGGGGTCCCCCAAGCCGGCACTGTAATTTTGACTTGCCCTATACCTACAGTTGGCAATAGCTATTTGCATCTATAAAAAAAATAACGTTAAATGGTCGAAGATCTAGCGTAAATTGCATGTACAAAAAAGGTAACGTCAAAAGCATAGCTCTACACCAGGCGTGGGCAACCTTTTTTTCCAAGGGGCCAAAATAAAATTTTTCATATGCGCCACGGGCCACACTTGAAAATCCAAATAAAAAGTATGTTTACAGAAATCAATATTTATCTATTTCTTTTTGGTCTATATCTATTTTTTGTTTTCGTAAAAATCATTTTAAAAAAACAATAAGTACTCTTGAAAATTGACACGATTTTGCATACAAAATTTACCAGACGTGGATAATAAATCCCCATATTCAGCTTGTATCCAAATTTTCATTTATGCTCTTTAAGATTTGTTGCATTATATGGCTTAAAAATGTTGTTTAATCCCAAAACACCTGTCCTTGTATTGCCCCACCCCGTATATATCGCGAGGAAAATTCTGGAAAATACCTGGCGATATTTCTGAAACCAGAAATGCATCTTTAACTAGGCTTTTAAACGCCTTGGAAGCTTCGGATCGCGTCCACTAGATGCGGCACGTGTAACATAATCATATTAATTAATTAATTAAAATGTAACTTGTGGGCCCTATGAAGTATTAACTCTGAATTATGTTAGCGGGCCGGACAAAACTTATCGGCGGGCCGGATCTGGCCCGCGGGCCGTAGGTTGCCCACGCCTGTATTATAGCATTCTTGGTTTTCACCATGTATTTATAGACATACAGAGTGTTTTTTAAGTTTGGCCATACGACAATGTAAATGCGTTGAGTTATTTAATATAGGCCATAGGGAAATTAACATTGCATCAATCATTGTTTCAGTCATAGCTTTCTCGCGAATCATCTGCCACAATACTGTAGAAATTGTTTCTAAATCAACAAATTTATTCAAATCAGATATAAACGTATAAGATTACAAACGGTGCTCGAATTGTTTTCCACCGTCAACCAAACCCGATACTCGGCACTGAATAGCTCGCATACCACTCAGCTACTGTGCCCACTCTTGTACAAATGGCATGAACACCTTTTCGAGCGGCGGAATACATGTTGCTCCTTCGTTGATGCAGTTTGAAGGATTGAGATCGAGAACTGTCAGAGAAATAACTAAGCGCAAGGCCAAGATTTGAGAACAACTTGCGCAATGTAAATTTTCCTATGGCCTATTTTAAATAACTCAACGCCTTTACATTGCGTTATGTTAGGTATGTACTTTCTATAGCCCATCTTTAAAAAAACACCCTGTATAAGTATTAGCATATGTCTATGCATATCTACGTAGGCGCGGTTCCCACTGGAGCGATGCGATAAGCGATGCAACATGAGCAATCTTTTATCGCCCGATGCAACTTTTATCCTCGCAACACTCCAGTGCACACTGGAGCTCTAGGATAAGCAAAAGAGCAGTTGTTTTGATCAGTCGTCATGAGTTCCTCGGAGCGCTACTGCGAACTGTGGAATCTGCCCAATTGTATTGGCTCCATCGATGAAAAGCATATCCGCGTAAGGTGCTTTAAGCTTTTCAGCTATTTGTTTCCACGCAACACCTGTCAAATCAGTCCTGCTATAACTTTTCAATGCATAGTTCCATAAACACGCTTTCTGCTCCATCAATTTCACGAAGGAAATAGAGGATTGCACGACCCGGCATGATTAATCGGATGTGTCGAACGATATGCGCTCAAAGCGACCCGGCAGCTATGTCTCCCGCCCCGGCGCAACTCCGATAATTATCGGTGTGCTATCGCGATCGCTCCAGTGTGTACTAGATAAGTTGCTTCCATTACGTTTGCACGATATGAGTGATCGGTGTCGAATCAGGATCGGGTTGCTTATCGAATCGCCTGTTGCATCGCTTATCGTATCGTTCCAGTGGGAACCGCGCCTTAGTGACAAATGCGATGATTGAAAAAATCCACAGAGTTGTATATAAAAAAATCACGATGGAAAAATGATCACGCCACTGGAAGGTTCGTGACAGTTGGTAGCAATTGTTTTGTTGACAGATCAAAATCGGAAGTTTGCCAATATCGGAATAGTTCGTTCTTATTGTGCCTGCGCTACTTCATATTTCATTTTGCTTTCGTTATTCCTAAATTAATACGAACTTTTTTTATTAACTATAAACTGTATTTAATTAATCGTGAGTGCAATGTTCAGCTAGACGTTTGACAGTTCGTAATTGTCGTCGTGATTGTCAGTGTATGCTTCCTAAATGAGTTCCAAATCCGACGTAAACAGGCGAGTGTTAGCCATTCAAGCAAAAAAGAAGCGACATAAGCCTGGTAAAAAGAAAGGCAAAACTGAAGAGAAGAACGGTCAAGCGGGCGTTAATCGCAACAACACTCGAATTGAGCCCTCCCACAGTTCTAGTAATGAAACTATTGAGGACGCGGGCGAAGCCTACTCAAGTGAGGAGGAGGAACAAGAAGACAGCGCGGACTACCGAAAGGGCGGCTATCACCCCGTTAAGATAGGCGATTTATTTCAAGGTAGATATCATGTTACTAGAAAATTGGGATGGGGTCACTTCTCCACTGTATGGCTGTGTTGGGATCTGGAAGACAAGCGATTTGTCGCCCTCAAAGTCGTCAAATCGGCACAACACTTCACGGAGACCGCATTAGACGAAATTAAAATATTAAAATCAGTAAGAGATTCGGATCCGGAAGATCCCAAACGTAACAAAACCGTACAATTACTAAATGACTTTAAAATCTCTAGCATTAACGGCGTACACGTCTGTATGGTTTTCGAGGTGTTGGGCCACAACCTACTCAAACTTATTATTAAATCGAATTACCGAGGGATTCCGCTTCAGAATGTGCGTACAATCATGCAACAGGTTCTGGAGGGATTGGATTACTTGCACTCGAAATGCCGCATCATTCATACCGATATTAAGCCGGAGAACGTTCTCGTATGCGTAACCGAAGACCACATTCGGAAGTTGGCATCGGAGGCCGCCGAAATGCATCAGCTTGGACTGAAATTGCCGACTTCGCTTGTTAGCACCGCACCTCCGCCCGATAATCAGTCGCTCGCCAAAATGAGCAAGAATAAGAAAAAGAAGTTAAAGAAGAAGGCGAAGAAGCAAAATGAACTGCTAAAAAGGCAGATGGAGCAGATCGTCGAAATTGAAGAGCAGAAGCGTTTGAAGGAGAACGGGGACGTAAATGGCGATCAGAGCACGGAAACGAGTAAGGAGGCGAACGGTAACAGTCCGAGTCCGGACAGTATCGAGGAGAAGTTACAGAATGGATGTATTAGTGATCTTGCCGGTGGCGAACTTGTAGACGATCGCAAGTGCGAGGTCGAATCTCCTGCGCCTTTGGAAGGAGGAGGTGAAGCAATCACCCCCATGTCCGAAGACGACTCCAACTCCCTAACCAACAAAACTAAAGGAGAAACGGAGAAGGATCCGGCGTTCGTCGAATGCAATTTCGAGGTGAAAATTGCCGACTTAGGTAATGCGTGTTGGGTAGATAAACACTTTACGGAAGATATTCAAACACGTCAGTATCGTTCCTTAGAGGTGTTGTTAGGTGCCGGTTACGGTTCTTCGGCCGACATTTGGAGCACCGCCTGTATGGCGTTCGAATTAGCTACCGGCGATTACTTGTTCGAACCTCATTCGGGAGACGAGTATAGCAGAGATGAGGATCATTTAGCGCATATAATCGAATTGTTAGGGGAGATTCCGAAAAGGATCATTACGTTGGGTAAGAATTCTAAACAGTTTTTCAATAAGAAGAACGAATTACGTCACATAACGGGTCTCAAACCTTGGGGCTTGGAGGCCGTCCTCATGGAGAAGTACGAGTGGCCGCAGAAGGAGGCGGAGGAGTTTGCCGATTTTCTGAAGCCAATGTTGAACTTCGATCCGGAACGACGAGCCACCGCCGCCGAATGCTTAAAACATCCGTGGCTGAGCCGAAAATGAGGCGACGGTTTTATTTCTCTCCTCGCGACGTCCTATTTATTTTTAAATTATTGCTGTCATTTCGTAAATCTGTTTCCGTTAGTTACTACGATCGCCGCAACCTCTCATTAAACAAGGCCTTTGTTATAATCCGTGTATATAGAGTAACATAGAAAAATTGTGATGTGTTTGTATAGACAATATTATAGTTCTAACACGCTCCTTGGCCCGCCCCGTTGCGTTGTTTTTATCAGGTTTTATTATTATACTCATTGTAGTACTTTCGCCAAGGAGCGATTGTAGGTGAATGTCTACTCATGTCAAATAGGCAAGTAGAAGCTATCAGTTCCAACCAAATAGTTTAAAGCACCAATATTTGTATATCTTTCATTGGAACGTAACACATTATACAACAATGATGAATCACTAAATGCTAAGTACATTGAAATATACATTTTAATGAGTTTTTATTCATCCACACAAACACACCTTTTGCGTCCTTATTGTATTTATTTATTTTTTTTAATATCCATATTTTTTTATAAACCAAAATTTTGAGCCTAAATAAAAATTTATCAAATTTGTTTGTTATAAATTTGTCGTGTTCCTTGTTTTTTTTCGAACAAATACACAATGAGATGACCTCTTTGGAAATGCTAGTAGATCGGTACAGATTGTGTAATTATATTACATTTCACCACACAAAAGTATTATGCACATTCCTAACATTTACGTTAATTGTTTGCAAGCAGTGATTGAAACAAGTTACGCTTCCCAGTTTTATTGTCCTAGTCTAGTGTAAATTTATTGTGAGAATTTTTTTGCCCTATACTAAATATTGAGATATTTTAAACTTGCCTTTTTATTTTATAATTCTGTTAGTCTATAAATAAAAGGGTGGGCCATTAGTGCATGGGTGGAAGATTGTGGGTGTATTAATGCACATATTTAAAATTCATTGTCTGGTCCTGTTGAAGGGCCTACAAATATTTTGAATGAATATACAGAGTGATTTATATTTTTTTAATGCCCCCGTATATTATTGCATATTTCGCAAGGGGTATTTCACTTCTGGTAGTACATGTACAAATTTAAGGTAGTATACACCCAGAACCGGGCAGTACCATAAGTCTCATATCCCGGAAGTACACTACTGGACGTTGTATGTGTGTATAGTGGGAGTCTTAACATAAAATACAAAGCGTCTGTAAAGTGCGCATGTTTTAGTAGTCGGAGATTCTGTTCAGTAGGTACAAAAACAGTTTGTGCTGTGATTGTGTTTGATGCTCGGTTATACATACAGTGCGTCCCAATTTAGAACGCACCATAGGGAAACGGCAATGTGTTTTTTTCACAAAGGATCCACGAGGCCTTTGAAATTAGCGTTCGACGTACTACCAAAGAGTAGAGTATTCCTCTTTGGTACTACTCCAATCTCTAGCGTCAGGCAAGCGCAATAAAGTCGTTGAACGCTAACTTCAAATAGGTAACAAAGGCCTCGTGGATCCTTCGCGAACAAATACAATTAATTCGGTTGGTCAAATCATCTTTTGGAAAAAGTTTCATACAAAGGTTGTACAATTCTAAAGGGGGCTAATCGTTTGTGACCTTACTCCAGAATGGGACCCCCCATTTTGTGCTCGAAAATGGAAAGAGCGGGAAATTTTACTATCGGGCAGTTTCTTATTTATCAACTGCTTGGATCGTAGGGCAAAAATTGGTTAGAGTAGGACCCAAGGATACTGTATAATATAAGGATTGCTCGATCACTGAATTTTTTCGCCGCGTGTAGTGACGTCACTCGCGGACCCAGTACTAGCGCATGCTTTGATTAAGGCCGATTCCCATTATTATAGCAGCATCGAGCAGCGCGGCGCGGTGAAAAGCTGCTCTCGATTGATCGCATGTAAATAAGTAGATCCGTTTTCACCTAGGCAGAGCGGCGCGGTGCAGCGCAGCAAATTTTAAACGCGTCGGGAAGCATTGGAATACGCGGCGCTGCTTTGAAACGCGCCGCTCTGCGTGTAGACGGACAAGTGGGAAAATCGAGGAGCGAAGCAGATCGGCGTGTATGTACATGGCATAGTGCCGCTATAAATATTATGAATTCATCTGGTGATGATGACGATTATGACTCTTCTTCGAGCGTGTAAGAATACATTCTCACTTAAATTGAACACAAACAGAAACGCTGCTTCGTCACGCTTCCAAATGGTGCTTAAGTGGGAATACCCCTCTACAATTTGTTGCTAGCGACGCGCCGGTCGGTGAGGGCGTCGATTCCCGAAGATGTGCTTTGTTCACATCGACTGACCTTGATGTGAACGTGAATGTCACTGCATTCTCGAACCTACCACATCGAGCGAAAAGTTGATCGAACGCAACGACTGGTCTAGACCACTCGTTGCGTGAAAGTCATGCGCAGTTCCAGCTACAGGACGGATCTTGCAGCTGTTTTGCTATAGAGGTTATTCAGTGCCCTAACCTATAAATTCACATATTTTCTGTGAAATAAAACATGGAATTGTTCGAGGATTTTCTGGTTATTAATAACAGTATCCTTAATGCAAAAACGAAACAAAATACAAAACTGACAAATGACAGTTCAATTCTTGTCTGTGATTGGTTAGCGCATACAGTTTGTTCGCGATTCGGGAATGCAGCTAAACTTGAACTTATCCCTATCGTATACGATCATGACGTCATGGCAGCCGGTCACATCACATGCACATCACGGAGCATATCGACTAACTTCGGGAATCGATACCCAGGTCTAATGAGAATCGACCTTTAGGATTACCATAAAATACGTTCAAATGGGTGTTGTAGGCAGGCATTTAAATTAGAAACACTTGTCCATTAATCTCGCTTGCAGGTTGCAGCACCATATCTATTCCTTGCGTATTAATCCATCGGTTTTAGCACGATACACTTACAACGGTATGCTCTTGCGCATCTAGCGTGACGTCACGTGCGAACAAAACCACAGAATATAAGAGCAAAATTACGATGCTGATCGACAAATCACAAGGTTAGTTGACAAATCATACTGATTTGTGTAGAGATCCTCGCGTAAGTTATTTCTGGGATTTCGCGATCGTATGAAATAAACTCTAACCAAAAACATTGGCCCTAAACATGAAATGCGGCTGTTTCGGTAAAAATTATATAATTAATGCATTATCAAAAGATCTAATCGCTCCTCCGTGTCCCTTTTATTTTGATTTTCATTATTACGCGGTAGTTTTAAAGTAGGTAAAGCATCAGGTTTCAAACATCCGCTGTTTTTAAAAGTAGGTCTAATTAAGGAGTCGTTCCCTTGCGGTGCTTCAAAACGGCTGGCTTCAAAATGTTCATAACAAATACAGGATATAGGATTAAACAGCAATGGAAAGACTTAAACACACCACTTAATAATAATGCAACACCATTTTTCAAGGTAATTTTGTCCTTACGACGACTTGCAACAATCCATTTTAGAGAAAAGTCTTCAATTTTCGGAAATCGAAAGTACCTATTTTATTTCCACACACAACCTGGCATTTTGGAATTTTCACTAATGATTACTTAGCTATCAACAAATTAATGCTTAGCTATCAACAAATTAACGCTATAAAACTCGTAAATACAACTGAAAAGGTGCAAACTGTCACGCGTGACATCTGTACTGGATTTTTCCGTGCGTAAACATTTGAATTTTGGCGCCACACGTTCGCAGGTGACGTAATGCGCAGTAGAAAACGCGTTTGAGAAAAATAATGAGCATACCGTGTGTAAGTGTATCGTGGGTTTTAGGGAAGTTATGGTAAATGACTTCCGGGTTAGTGATTTTTGTGCAAACACGGCTGTTATTACAGTATAATATTGCACATCGGCGTCCTGGCGTCCATTCAAATACGTTCACAACTTAGCAAATTATAATATAACTGTCAATTCTGACAGCCAAGTCCGTTGGTGACGTCACATATGACTTAAACTTGGGCAACATTACAAGTATAGGGTTCGAGCAATCCTTATATTATATAGTATCCTTGAGTAGGACCATATCAAGGTTGTTTTATTAGAAAGGTTGTCTGGTAACTCTAAACCAATAGAATGCTTGCATTTTGAAGGCGGGAAAACGTCATCCAGAATTCACATTTAAAATTGCTCATAGGTTACAATGCTAATAAAAGAGGTAAAAAAGTTAGTTTTTGCAGTATATTTTTGGATTTATATGGGTATATGTATATGGGGGTGGTTCTTATATTGGAAATCTTGGAAGTTTAAAGTGCATAGAATTGATGAACTAACCTTTCAATCACGGCTATGAAACCCACAAAATTCACAAACTAAATGTCTTTATATTCCACCAAACAGGTATCTACAGCTAAAATATGCCCTTATGCACTTCAAAATTCAACAAATTTTAAACAAATAAACTATAATTCAAGAAAAATAAGCACCCGCGCGACTACAAACAACGTTGAACGTCAATGTCAGAATTCTCGATGACGTATACATTCCGTCCCTCCCGCTTCCGCCCACATAGTTACCAGGTAACCTTTGAAATAAAATAACCTTGGGACCATATTCTATACAGATATAGGACTCTTCGATCTACAATGGTAGGGACACGAACTTATAAATTAAGATGGACTAATGCTGAATTGACAAATGACACGTACACTACATGGAGGCAGCCATGATGTGCACTCACTTGGCGCGAAATTCAAATCAACTAATAAACATGCATTACCCTCACGTTTTCTAAATAAATTACTGTGACACATGTCATTTTCCAAGGCTACAATAATAGTCTCGAAATTTGACCGCTAGGAAAATTCCCCTAAAAAATAATTAAAACGTGCACATCATGGCCGCGCCCATGTTAGGGCCATTTTGCCTCTATGCAACTGTTTGATCAGCAGTCCATCTTAATTTATAGGTTCGTGGACAGGAATAAACAGATACGTTTAAAAATTTCTTTTCCCCCTTTATCCCCCCCCCCCCCCAACATGTCATAAAATTTCAACCCCCTACGGCCACGTATAAGGGTAGTAGTACTCAAGGTTAGTAGAGTACTGACCTTGAGTAGTACCATTGTATAAGGTGGATATACAATGGTAGTAGGTACCTACCTATAGGGGGAAAGGGGGTCAGACATTTTTTTACAAGAAAAGGGCGACTTCAGCTAGAATTTTTTATATTATTTTGCAGAGGTGTACAAAATGACACATTATGACGTCGCTCTTTTTTTATAAAGAAATTTGTAACCTCCCAAAATTTTGCATTGTACATGTTTGGGGATCTAAACTTTGGGACACATCTGACCATTACCATCGTAGACCCAAGAGACCTACTCTAACCTATTTTTACTTTAATTGCTGCATAAAAGCAACTGATAAATAATAAGACACTGTCCGATAGTAAAATTTCCCGATCTACTTTGAGATGTCTGCTTTCAAATTTCAAACAAGAAGTTCCGTTACCGTATATTGAGACACCGTTTAAGCTACCGTTGCCAGATACCGAGCCACAATTCAATAGCGTTCCCATGAAAAAACAATAGGTTTATTATTCAACAATGTATTCAGTCTTCAATGTCAGCAATTATAACAATAGTAGTCTGTATAGGGAGGAAATGGTGGATAGATTTAGTTTTGCCGAGTTAGCTTTTCGAGTTCCCACAGGTTCATTTTTTTCTTTGAGTTCACTTTGCTTTGGGTAGTCAGTTAGTGTGTTGTTCATTGTAACAGAAAGGTAATGTACTTAGTTGTAATTGATTTATATTGTAGATTATGTTGCCTTCAGCTAGTTGTAATGCAGGGTAAAGTGATTCTTGAATTTGGTGTAATTTGCTTTCATGTAAAAGTGGTTCTTGTTTGATTTGTTGAAGATTGGCCAGTTATCAATTTTCATGTGTTTGTTTTGAACCCATTTAGATTGATTAGCGACTTCAATTCTTTGTGTATGAATCAGCCTTTTTTGAGTGTAATTAACCGTTTCGCCCTTGCAGAGGTACATGCCGGAGTGATAAAAGATACTTAGCGGCATGTATTTCGAACGACAACTTTAGTCTAAGGTTACCGTATCCAGGATCTTAGATACCTGCTAGATTGGAGGAGGTCTGGCTAATTAATGATGTTTATTTTATGCACTTTATGTAAAGAGACTTCGGAATGTATCTTTCACACATGAGAAAGGATTGAAGGTGCTTTTTAAATCTATTTGTGATGGCCATCCTTTAACTTATCAAGTTTGTATTGCATTAACGTCAGATTTCAATCTGTCCAATTCAAGAATTACTTACTCGGATTATTATTCTTTGTATAACTATTGTAGCTGTGTTGTAAAATGTGTTTAGCGTTATCCAATGTTACCTCTCATTCTCCAGATTTTCCCTCTAGATTTCACCTCTGTGAACAGTGAGTCGGAATTTTCTTTAGCACGGTTCTTTTGTCCGACGAGTTCTAGTGGAACCTGGCACTTTTTGGCTTTAAATGTATTCTGTCTAAATTTGTAGGATGTCTTTCGGCCTTTTGATTCATTTTTACACTCTTGATCAGTTCTTTAATAAACTTTATTTGTGTTTCAATTTCAATTAAGCGTATTATTTGCGTTCCGCCTTTCCGATAATTAGCATGGGTACGAGTGAGTGCAACCTGGCCTTCCACAACGTAGGTGTTACGGACATTGTCGAGTGCGAGGTTTGTGTTACTACGCAGGTGTTCCGAGTTCGTGTTTTTCCCGCTTTCGTTAGCGCGGGAGCTGTCGACTTGGGTACATCACAACTTATTACAAACTTCAAAATTAGGGGGCCTCATTAAACATTTTTTGAAGGCCTTGGAGGTCAAGATCAAGGTCATCCTCAAGGTGACTAACTACCCCTTTACAGTTGTACAACTGTTGTATGACACTTTTTCCCAAAAAATATGATCCCACAAGTTATTAAATAGTCTCAAGATAAATGGATATGATACACATATATCATAAAATTCACAGATTTCGCAATCCTTGCATCCATCGGAGACATTGGAAATGATAACCGTATAACCTATAAACATAAAGCGGATAAAGCCATAAATAACCTTTATTCACCCGGAATAATTTTGCTCCACTCGCTCGCAAGCTCGCTCGTGTCGCAAACGTGAACTTTCGGAATAATAAGCGGCGTAACATGTTTGTAATTGTAATACTATCACGGGCGATGCGCGAGAATTTTCAATTCGAATTAACAAAACCCCTGCGCACTGTTAAGTAAGTACCGTATCGACAGTATCCGCGACTTTTCCTGAATTTACCGATTGCAGTCGAGTACGGTACATTCAACACTAGACGCGACACCACTGTCTTTTTTTCTACTCGGTAAACCTGGTAAATTCATACCCATACAAAAAACATAAGCATTTCCAATGCTAAAAGTTCTATAACAGTTAAGTACGTCGATCTTTCCTAGCTCATACCTGGTTAAAAATCATTTTGTGCAAATGTCAGATGGCGGCTGTTGCCTAATCTAATATATTACAGTGGCGCATCTATAGAAATTATTTTTGAATGTACAGGGTGTCCCATTTTTACGCCGGGAGTGATTTTTTAGAACACCTTGTATATTTTATATTATAGGTTGGCATCTTATTAATATTTTCCGGATAATTCCCCATAAGCAAGCCTCGCGTTTATGAATCGTAGCGTAGCGGTAGCGTTGAGCAAGAATGTTAATCCGAGTGAAGGACATTAACACAACACTTTGATAATGAGAAAGTTGAATTTAGTGATAGAGGGTGTTCACAATGAAATGATAAATTTTCCCAATTTCAAAGTCCCGTAACTATTTTTTTTTCAAATAGGACTACCACTATTTTATATCGCTATTCGATAGTCTATAAAAGTTGAAGAGAACATAAAATCGAATAACGAAATAAAATATAGTGGTACTTCCACTGAATAACTAAATCCAACTTTCTCATTTCCAAATTGCTGCCCTTTACTCGGATCAACATCAACAAAATGATATCGAAACAACAAGATGTTCATTTTTTTAAAATCATCCAATAAAATGAGACACCCTGTACATTCAAAAATAATTACTATAGATGCGCAACCATCTACAGTTGACTTTTGCAGATTTTTTTCGGTTATTCCGCGTCAAGGTTAGGTACTTACATTTTTTAAAGTGGAGTGTAGCCGTGTAGGTACCTTAAAATGATATCTTCAGGATCTGTTAGATCGTCGACGCGAGGTACTCCGATCTTTTAATTACTCCTAATCTAAAAATGATAATAAGAGAGTTGTCGATTGTGGATGCGCAGTGTTAGAGGGACCTACCATGGAAATTGCTTCGTAAACAAGAAAGTTGCATTTTGCGCATGCGCGCTACGTTTTTTTGGCGCATTCGCTTTATTTGCTTTTATTAGAGGGACCTAACATACAAATTTGTATATTACTCTATAAATAAGAAAGTTGCTTATTGCGCATGCGTAGTACAATTTTTGACCTTCTATTGTAAAACGTGGCCGATAGATATAGGCGATCAATCGCATCGTTCTAGTCATCGGCGTTTGCAAATAAGTTTCAAAATACAAAATTTGTAGGCAAAGCGGGGGGGGGGGGTTAATAGATGATAGGCGCTTTCTTTCGGTGATCCAAACGCGTTTGGATTGTCAAATCACGTTCTTTCGAAGTGTGATCTTATAATCATGATTGCTAAAATTGTAAACAAACTGAACATAAAAGTTTTATGATCCCGAATTCCTAACCTATAAATGCAAGGATATTTTTGCTCAATTGTTAGGTTAGTCAATATTTATAACTGAAGAGGAGCATAATCGTGCAAGTACTTCCACTTGTATTTAAGTTATTTTCATAGTCCAATCAAAAAATACGTAATTCGAGTGCAAATATGTACTTAACCATACTTTGATTTAAATTCGCGCGTTCTTTCGTAAAACGTGATCCTACGAATCACGATCTTGAAATCATGATCGCGAAGTAGCCGAAAGAAAGCGCCTATAGTGTGTAGATGCCACTTTGTCATACGTTGGTATAGGAGCGTTGGCCTACTACACTTTATTCCGTATAACTTCCGTTGCACGTCATCATTTTCTATGACGTAATTACTATGCAATAATGCCAAATCTAGTTTTGAGCGATTTAGGTTATGTCACTTGTCAATAAGACAGTGCATTGTTTGTGTGAACAATGCACACCTTAAATAAAATAAAAATAATTTTTATTATTCATTTCGTTAATTGGAACCACAATATACATACAATATACTTTAATAACTTATGAACCGTACAAATGTAGCATCTCTTTTACAGAGAAAGTACTAAATATAACATTTTACAGGTTATGTGATGTGATGGATGATATTCAAATTAATCGGAATCATCAGAACTGCTTTCGTGTTCAAAGTTTATAATAATAGTAGCAACGTTTTCAAGATCTAATTGCTTCTCTTTTGTACCACTCGTGTATTACAGTTTCCGTATCCTTAACTGAATTGCGCCACGTTTCCGAAGTTATCGATTGTAGTGTTTCTTGTCACATGTTTATGCAATTTTCAATGCTTCGTCCATCTCTACCAATGTGTCGATTGTAGTAATTTTTCGCTATGCCCCAAATATGTTCGATAGGATTAAAAACACGATGATAGGGTGCTAATCGTAAAACGAAGTAACCGTATTGCTCGGCTAAGTGGTCAATGCGTTATACGGTAGATTTTAGCTGATTTATTCCTAAAAGTATCAACAAGATTTAGATAATATCAAATAATTTGCGAACGTACTTACTGTGCAACCTTTTCAACAGTTCGGCTTTCAAATCATTGTCGGAGAACTGCACATTATGATCACCTAACCACACTTTAATGTTGTCTGTTTTCCCGTTATCTAACACAATTACTGACGGGTTAAAGGTAAGTTCATAGCTCTCCGTTCATACGTTTCCGTTTGTCCGTTAGCCAATTAGAAGACAGCAAATTTTTAAATCGTACGTCGTCCGTTTACGACGGAAAAGTTGGTTGAAGTTGAACATTTACGTTTCTGTTGGTCCGTTTTTAACAAGAGTGAGGTTATGTTTGGTACGTTTACAGCGTTCTCCTATTCGTTCTTCACGGAAATAACCAGATAGCAATGTGTTCTTACTTTCGTACCATTTTTACATACTGAAAATCACGGAGGGTACAGTACAAAACAAAGTTTAGGTTATGGTTATACTTGCAAATGTACAATGTGGACGGATTGCTATGAACCTTAACAAAATGTACTATCCGTTTGACGGATCAACGCAACGAATGAACGGAGAGCTATGAACCCACCTTTAATCAAATCAAACGAAAAGTAAACCAAAAGCAACCTGTCAAATTTACAAATTTAAACGCGACAACATAGCGAAATGCTACCAATTGCTGCGGCTAAAATAAACTACATGCTTAATGTGTTGCCTAATAAACGAAAGTAAGTTTACGTTGGTACGTCGTTTTCTTCAGGTAATGACGTGCAACGGAAGATATACTGAATAGACCATGAATAGACCGTATATTAAAATACACAGCCAAAGGCATCGCCTCGGATACGCCGTCTCGCTTCCCGCATTTACTGAAATCGCTGTGGATTCTAGAATGCGACCAATCGATATAGGAACGCTACGTAAAAAACCGCAAAATAGGAAACAAGTGAAATTTTTTAGCAATGGGCTCATCCCGCCTTCATTTTTTATTTCTGATCCACAAAGTCCATTAAAAATAAAAAGACCCGTGT